TGTATTCATTTAGCTGCTTATTTGCATTTTCTTTGATTCTATTGAGCATGTCTTCTTTCATCTCATTAATTGTTCTTACCATCATTTTTTTGAACTTGGAAATTGAGATTTCACACTCTTCAGTATCAATTGGGGTCATTTGTTGTGTCATTGTTGACTTTTTCAGGAGTCATAATTCTTTTCTTTTTCATATTTCTTGTGCCTCTATTTTGATATTTGCTTATCTGTTGTCAATTAGTTGATTGGAGGTTTTATCAACAAAATCTTTCCCTTGAATTATTCTCTATGTTCTTGCAGGACTGTTAGTAGCTAGGTTGTTATGCAATGTCTGACCACTGACCAAGAGATATAACTCAGCAATGAGAATTTCACCAATTCAATACCAAACCAGATATTTATATGGAGTAAAATAACATTAGCAGGATTATATATACATGATAATGTCATATAATATGGAGAGTAGTAGTAGGGGGTTAGAAAAATAAAATTTGTTTGCATAAGAGTTCATATTTAGGTAATAAAAATAAGGGTGTTAGGAAGGAAATAAGAAGAAGGAAGATGTAGAGAAGAGGAGTGAAGTGTGAGAGCTGTAGTTGAACAAAATTCTAGTGTGTAGGGATATAGTTCAACAATTGTGGGGAAGGACACTATTGTCAGGGGTTGCAAAAGGATAGAAGATTGAGGGTAATAAAAGGAGATAGAATAAACCACCAGTAGAATAGTTTGCAAACGAGATATGAAAAAAGCAATGGAAAAGAAAGGAAAATACCAATATAAAAGAGAAAAATTAAAACTTAAAAAATTAAGTCAATATTTCTTCCTTTTTGTGAAGAAGTGTGAATGTCTCTGGGCTCTATCAGCACACACAATGCTCCCCTCCAGTCTCCATTCTTCAGACTTTTGTCTGCATTTCTCCTGTTATGTTTACTAACATGTCCCTTGAGGACCATGGATTGCCCACGTGTAATCTGGGATGGGAGTCTCTGAGTTGTGTGAGATGGGGTAATTCCAGGCATGTAGTTTAACAGTTGGATATGGGTGGTAGAATCCTAAGCACAGGTAGTGGGTCAAAAGCACTTTGCCAGTGTCAAAGCCTTGCTTTTGCTGTTTAGGGAGTCTAATGGCTGCTCTGGCTTCTCCACGATGAGCTCTTTTCCTGTTTTATACCTGGGCTTCCAGTCTAATGTTTCAGTTGGCAAGTGAGGGGTAAATAGCTTTTGTCACTTGTGTATATGTATTAGATGCTGGGTTTGGCAGTAGGTTAAGTGTTCTAGCTAGCTGGCCAGCTCACTTTGATGCCCTCTTTGTCTTGGGATAGAGACATCCTGTTTGTTCCCTCCCCCCCTTCTTTTTGATAGAGACCCTGGGCTAAGTGGCTAAGTGGCTTCATTTGCCTCTGACAGGACCAGGTGTGGCATCCCTTTATCGGCCTGCTTAGCCAAAAGTTTTCCATGGGGTCAGATGTGTTTATGTGCACTGGACTTGGCTGAGCAGCAGCCCTTTGTGGAAGTACTGGTTGTAGTAAAATTTGAACAGCTGTACCTTCTCCCCCACTGGCATGGAGTCTGGTCTGAGAGCCTTTAATCAGTCTGCTTAGCCAAAGGATTTCTTGTGAGTTTGATGCATTTGCACTCCACACACAGAGCAGACCGTGTTGTGGCACTACAGACTGAAACCAGTTCACCCACCTGGTTGGTCTTCCTGCTCAGGTGGCTGGACACAGACTTCAGTTGGCTTCTGTCTGGTGACCTGGGCATGGCCTGCTGACCTGCTCTTAGAGCTTCATGAAATTTTCTTCACAGGGTGGCCCTCATGAGTGGCACTTGCAGAAATTCAAGTTCAGACAGGAAAGAAAAGACCTAGGCTGGGAGGGTTGTGGGATGGAGCAGGTCAGGTCCACATCTTTGTACCTGTAGTGGATTTGCACTCTTAGCAGTTTAATTAGAGATTGGTATCTCTATCTACTATCTGTCCTTAGACTGGTATACCCATTTTTAGTACCCTAATTTGCTCACTTCTCCTTGCAGCTATGTACCTGATGTTTAATTTCAGATTCATGGAGACATGGAGAAGTGGTGCCTGTCAGCAATTGTTTTACTTTTGTTTCCTGTATTTTTGATGTCTTATCCAAGACTAGAAAGACCAATGTTATGAACCTTTTCTCCTAGGTTTTCTTCTAGTAACCTTACAGTTTCAGGTCTTACATTTAAGTCTTTAATTCATTTTGTGGTGTTTTTTTTTTCTGTGTGATAAAATAAGGGTGTAATTTTATTCTTCTGCATATGGATAATGAGTGTTTCCAAAACCTTTTGCTGAGTGATGTCAAGGAGAACTCTTGCAGGTCACTCTCTTTTTCTATTGAAAATTTTATTCCTTATCTTTTGCTTACTGTCCTAAGTACTCAAACTTATAATAGTATTTTCTTGTCCAACTTTATGCTTTTGCCAAGTTTAACTCAAATATCCTCTAGGGAAAAAGTACATAAATTTCTTCTGACAGCTTTATTATAAGAAGTGAAAAATATAAGAAAAAGTAATGAATAGCTTTTAAATATTGCTTTCATTGTCAATGTTGTGTTACTGTTTCTTATTCAACATACTGATATCAAAATGACTGTATTGAAATTCCATTCTTGAGCTGAGGCATGGCTCAAGAAGTAAAACATCTGCCTCACAAACACCAAGCTCTGAGTTTAAACTGCTGTGGTCAAAAAAATACTAAATCCCATTTTTCCTCTGGGATATCTTACTTCCGGGTAAGACTTAATTTGAGGGTAGGCAGCTCCATAAAAAATCTTTCAGTAATCCTTATATTATGAATCCATCCAGCTGCCAACATCTCTTCTGAGTGTGCAGCAATGTTGTCTGTATGGAGAAGGATGTGATGTTTCTTAGTTTCTCTCTAGCATCTGTCTACAACCTGAGCATATATCCTTTGTTGACACAAAGGATCAATAGCTCACTTCAGAGACCTTGTAGCCTTAAGAGACAGTTACAGAGAAATGAAGAATTCTGTGCTAGTGGAAGAGAAGAAATAATGGAAAGTTTTTCTTTCTTTAGTTCCTGGTTTAGGAATTTAGGGCTGGTTTATAAAGCTTTAATGAAGCGGATCTGGTTTTCTTTTGCCTCCTATCTATTAGGATGGAACTCATGAAGTAATTCAAAGAGTTTTTTATCTGACATTTAATGCAGCTATTTTTGTAATGATTTTTACACACATGACTTTTTATATACAGCCCTAGTTTATGCATCCAAAAAGAAATTAACTTTCAGCCTTCTCTAATCCCAAGTAATGTGTTCAGCACATTCACACTTTTAACCCTGATCCTCACTCCACCCTTAAATTTATTTCCTTTGCCCCTTAGCCCATCTCTGCATTTTCATCTCACTCTTGAGTCACACCTGTGAAGTCCTTGGGCTTCTTCCTATCCCTGTGTTCATACCATTCTGGGCCACCATTCCCTCCTCTGCACTCTGTCTCTGATCCACACTCTATTCCTGGTGCTTAGAATGATTATCACAGGTTAGTTAAGTCTTAAGGGTGGGATAAGATTTTTATGCATATTACACAATACTGTGGAAAGAAATACAAAGAGTTTTTCATTTAGATATCAGCAAAATGTTCAAAATGACATGACAATATATCTATTTCTCAAAAAAGCTTATGTCTTAGTCACGAAAAGAGTGTCTCTAGATTTCCTAGATAGAAGCAGGAAGGAGATACAAGTTTTCCACAGAATCTCAAAACTCATCCCATTCATCCTGAGATTACCAAAGAAAATGGTTCCAATAGTATTTTCTTATTTTTTTCACTAAAATGACTCCATATTTTTCATTCTTAAAAATGATTAACATTTTTTCTTTTTCTTAATGATAACATAGAAAAAATAGCACTTTTTTTTAAACAGCAATTTATGCAGCTGTTGGCTGCCTGGCAATCCATATCATCCCACCTCTCCTTTAGTGCTCCTTTCCAACTCTGATAGCAATTTGAACATAATAAAAAAAGATCAGTCTCTGTCTATAAGTGGGCTTAGCAAGACAAAAGGTACAGTTTATCCAGCTTCTGTGAGAAAAAATAAAAAAGGCTCTTATTATCTAGGTAGTGACAAACAAATCCCAAAAAGGGTGTTCTGCTGAGTTTCTACTTTTATTCAACAGGCAGTTGGACAGGTAACATTATGATCAGGAGACTTTCAGAGCACAGACCGGATGGAGACTTCTCCATTCTCTCAGACCATAGTCTAGGAGGAAAATAGATGGAAAAAAACTGAAAATCAGTGAGTCCAATCCCAACATCTCTGTATTGTTTTCTATAGTAAAAAGACAAGCTCTGAAGAATTCTTTGTATACACAGGTGATAAAGGTAGGTGGTTCAGAATCTTTTTTCTCTCATGTCTTTCACCAATCCTTGCGTCATTTGTCCTGAAAGAGAAGATGTATAGGTTATGTACTAGAACTCAAGGACACTGAAGAGATGTGGCTATACACTTACAGCTGTATAGTAACCAAAGAAATCCATAGAGCCATGCATTTTGCCAAAAGTGGGAACTTTAAATCATGCTCATCACATTTTATCCAATGTGATCTCATAAGTTTGAGCACCTAGTATGTACTATCTATGGAGGCAGAAACAAGAATGAACATGACTCAGCTCTGCTCCTGAATACATGTAGCCCTCATGGTAATAAAAATAAAAAGACAGGTGGCACTAACACCACGAATATCATTTCATAGACAATGACATTGAGATTCAGAGTTTAGTAAGTTACTAAGTTCTCAGATTAGATCAAGATGAATCTGATTCCTGTAACACTAATGCTTTTGTATCATAGTTTGTTTTAGCAATTAGAATATAACCAGCTGTTTTCCTTGCCTGGTTTGCCTATGCTTTCAAACACTCTTTTGAAATCAATATTTAAAACATTAAATCAATATTTACAAATCTTTTAAAAGGGGGCAAGAACTGTAGGAAGTTTTCTTCCATGTAAATGTATATTGTCAGCTAGCACCATCTGGAGTATGAGTAGCACAGTTGTTCCTAACTGCAACATCCATTTTAGTGCCCATATCAACTCCACAAACTTTGATCTGGTTTGAAAGGAGCAAGGCATGGTTATGTTGAATCCCTAAAACATCTGTGTCATAAAGTTGAGAACAGTCATTTATATTGATATTTCTCTTAATATAAGAAATATTTGGGTACAGATGTTATTGATGGGTGATGGAGTAACATTGCTCTGATGACTATTATGGTTGTATATCCTGAGGTTGGAACCTGCTTTTTAATATAGCAAATCTTTTAATTGTGATAATGCCTTTTCTAGAGCCTTTGGTTTTTAGAGTCTCTTAATGATTAAGGGATAACTCAGATATAAGAAATGAAGTCAGAAAATCTACATTGGACACAAGATATAATACTGAATAACTTTAATAATGACAGAAGTTTCCCCAGACTGGTTGTCTGTAAAATGGCAAAGAATCCCTTCCCTAATCACATGACTATTGTGAATATGCAGAGGAGATGCACATACAACTCTAAGGAGCTACATAAATCTTAGTAGTCATTCTACAAGGGTTGTTTTATGATAAAAGTACTACTTAGATAATAAGGAAAAATCTGGGTTTCATATCCTTGACCTACTTTTTTAGGAAAGTTGTGACTGCCTGGCTTTGTTCCATTCTTGGGACATCAGACTCTCTTAGAGAAGTACACACATTAGAATAAAGCTCAGGCAATCTGCCCCATCCTCCAGAAGATAAAGCCATAATAGTAATCAGAGCCTTGCTGATCCCTGTGCCACATGTACTACCTGTAACCAAAATCACCACACTGAATTATAGAGAGGGATCTGAAATTTCATCCACCCAGGACATGTTTTGTTTTGTTCCACGAACCAACATAATAAATGATTTCTGTCATTAATAATTCCTTCTGTAGAATTTTAGGGAAAGAAAACACTCAAAAATGGAAAGGAAAGAACACCACTGAAGTTTTTAAATGTGACACCCTGGCAAGATTATTTATTATTTGAAGAACTATATCTTATCAGTACAACCTTAAGGCAATCTAACCATAAGGTAGTTAGACTAGAATCATTGCTCATAAATGGTCTATTAAAAATCCAGTAAATCATTTAAAATGTGAAGTACATCTCCACATATTTCAGTAATTAGCTTCATAGTAAAAATGTGATTAATTATGAAGTCACCTGATCTTCTATAACTTTTTTAGCATCACCTGGTGCAAGAGAACAAAAACAGAACTACCTACTTCTAACACCATAACTATGAAGATCAGTGTACTCACAGATGCAAGCAGGCCAGCAGGTACTGTTTCTGGAGTACTGTTCTCCTCACAACTCCCTTTATGACGTATGTGTATATTGGTTTGACGCATCCTAAAACAGAACAGAAAAGAGGCTTCAACAATAGGAAAACATAGTTTTAATGAGAAAAAAATGAGGTCAGTGTGGGTGACGCTGAACATCAAACCAAACTCAAAATAGAGGGAGGGCCTGGGATCTACTTTGGACCATTTCCCAGTAGGCATCATTTAAGTTCAGTCTCTGCCTTTTATCCTCTAGTTCTGAATCTATCCATCACATTTCATCCACTCATACAACTGCTGAATACTGGAGATCATCTTCTCCAAGAGCCATTATTTGGTGTATGGGAAAGTTATATCCTAGAGAGAAGTCTGACTAATGTGAGTATTTGCAATGTAACTTTGGGAATAGAAAATATTACAAGACATAATACTATGGCCTGAATTTTAAATTTTGAAATAATCACCAAAATTAAGAATTTTAAGCCAGGTATGATGGTTCATGCCTATAATTCCAGCTACTCAGGAAGCAAAGATCAAGAGGATCACAATTTGAGGCCAGCCAGGGCAAAAAGTTAGGGAGATTCCATCTCACCAAAATGCTGAGCATAGTAGTGTATGTCTGTCATCTCGGTTTTATGGGAAGCTTAAGTAGGAGGATCAGATCAGGTGGTTCAGACACCAGGGAAAAATGTGGGACTGTATCTCAAAAATAATCAAAGCAGAAAGGGCTGGGAGCATGGTTCAAGTGGTAGAGTGCCTCCCTAGCAAGCACAAGGCCCCAAGTTCAAACCTCAATACCACCGTTTCTTATTTCCTTAGCATCCACTTGTTTGCCTATGTTGATGGGAAATTAATAGTCAATTAAGGCAGTGAAATTCATCTTTGGAATTGTTTAAGTTGAAATTGCTGCCCTATAACTTCCTCTAACAACATAGAAACCAATGTTGGTCCTCCTTTCTTGGGACAGTCTAAATCTTCTCTTTTCTCTAATATATACTCCCAGCTTTCTTAGCCAAACAAACTACCATAAGGCATGCTTTTAAAATATTTTCATCATTTGAAAATATAGTTCCTTGGAGTAGAGGATTACCTTTCATGTGTCTACACAGTTAAAGGAAAATTTGATAAAATTATGTTGATACTTTGGTCCCTGACATTTATCACAAAGAGGAGTTAAAAGATTTCTTGCCCATAGTTATGACATATATGATAACTGAATTCTGGACAGCTAGTTATATTTATTCCTTAAATAAGTTGTGGTTAGATTTCAAGTAGTCCAGGAGCCCATACATATTACATGCACAAATTGTTCATATATCACATCATTATTTTTTCTGTTCTTAAAAAAGGCAACTTTCTTCATACTATCAAAGGAATCTTTGGTCCCACAAATGTACATGGAACCACTGCTTTGGAGATAACAGTAGTACAGTGAGGAAATAAAACCAAATCAAAAGGTTAAGATGCTGTCTAATCTATTCTTAGCTTTGCAACTTTTAACAAATTACTTGAACTCTCTGAGCCTGAGTTCACCCTCAGCACAAAGACAATAATACCACTCCATAGTAGATTGTGGGGATCCACTGATTAGATATAAAAGTGCTTTATCTAAACTACACTTTCCTATAGATGCAATAACACATAAGCACTTAATTCATATTTTATGCTTTTAAATATATGACTTGAGGAGTGACTTTTTCTTTTATGAGTTAGGTCATTCAAAAAGAAATAAATGTAAATTCAAATATTTTTCCAGGATTGAAAGGCAAGATACTAGGGACTCCTATCCTCACATCCTGAACCTTGTTTAAAGTGTTCTAAGAAGGCTGGAGTAGTACTTGGACTGCAGTGTAAGTCTGGGGTGTGGCAGGAAGGAAAAACCAAGACTTGTCACCATGCTCTCTCTCATTGAAAACGGGTCACCTGAAGGCTGGGAGAAGGCGAGGAATGTGTATAGAGACAAGGTGAAATTATTACCAAAATCAAATAACATTTGAGTGGAAAATCAACAACAAAAATAAACCAATAAAAAGTCTAAAATAAATTCTTTGTGTTTAATTTAAAATACAAATATTTTCATATCTACACAATAATTTGTGAATTCAGCTGCTTATAAGACTGCCTGTGTTTCCCTAAAGTAGATAGTGAGCCTCAGAATGATGCCGTGATGTGCCCACCCCACGACACACAGGTAGTCATAAACCTGAGAACAGACACCAGATGTGCTACTTATTCTCTTGCACTTTGTTTTGCATGTACCACTTCCCTCAAGAGAAAGGCTTACAGAACACAGGAAATCAGTGACTGTGTTGTAGTCATAGAATATTTTAGGTATGGCTAACTCCATGTGACAGTGGTTCTCAACTGTTTTCCTCTGTTATGTGCAGGATGGGTGATGATCACACTCTTACAAGTGTACACAGATTTGTAGAGATACTCCATAATCATTGTAACTCCACTACTTTTTCCTTTCTCTTTTACTTGGTAAAGTAGATAACAATGTAGATAAGCAAATTTACTAAAGGGATAACATTTAAATCCTTTCTATTTTACATATAAGAAAGATAATTCATAATTCTGTATTTTTAATGGTGGTATTAGTGTTTGAACAAAGGGTCTTGGGCTTACTAGGCAAGTACTCTACCATTTGAGCCATGCCCCATGCCCTATGCCCTTTTTGATTATTTTTCAGTTAGGATCTCATGCTTGTTGCCCAGGGTGGCCTTGCATTGCAATTCTTCTACTTACACCTCCTGCATATATGGAATTCTAGGCATGTGTCACCATGTCCAGTTAATTTGGAATTTTTAATGGTTATGATTAATAAACAATTTGCTACACAGCTCAAACTGATATGGGCATACTACTCTAAGTGATTGTTACAGTTGGGAATCTCTACACTTTGTATACTTACAGGTTTTCATGACAAAGCATGCAGGGATTTCTATATGTCTGGCCATCATCACCACAGACAGGCTCGAAATTCTTTGAGCAAATATAACCCATCCTGGGCAATATTCGGTACTGTTTGCATATCTCAGAATCCTGAATGAGCAAAGCATAAAACAGATTTGTATAACAGCATCCAAAGACATGGATTTGGGAGAACTTCTTGGTTTTCTCAATCACATTTGAATAAATGATTAGGAGCAGTATTGTGATATATGTTATTCAAACTCACACATTTATTTCACAAGATAAGTTTCTAAAGAAAGAAAAAGAGCAAAACAATAAGAAAGAAGAAATTCTATAAAATATGAGGTATGATAAGCTGGAGTATGCTTACAGGAAGAAAGTAAGATGATAATTATGTCTGAAATAACATTCATTTTTAAATTAAGGTACTGGTTCTATACATCTTAGAAAGGAAAGACTTGGAGATAAATACTAGTGAATTGCCTGCATTTGGGAGTCCAAACTGCAACAAGTTAGAAGCGTGATTTTTCTTGCTTTTTTGAGGCTTTATCTTATCACAGGAGACACATGAATAATAGTCACTCCTGCATTACTGCCTTTCAAGATTTAATAGTGTAGAGCATTTAACTCCATACTTGACATAGTGTCTACCACATACCAAGTTCTCAGTGAGTGGTAGTTGTCAGTATGTTCCCCTAATTAAAAACTTTTTTTCTAGTTGTGGGCATGGCTCAAGTGGTAGAGCAATTGCCTAGCATGTACAATGCCCTGAAGTCTGTCCGCACTAACTAAAAAGCAAAATCCACATAAAAGATCAAACATAATTGCTTTTTATAGCCTTTGGGAGTATGAGTTCAATAATAAATAATACAATAATAGCAACTACAACTTTTTCTGATTAATCAGAAAAAAGTCAAAAGGTAGGACAAAAGAAGAACAGATTTGAAAGCAAATAGTATGAGGAAAGTCTTAAAACTAAGACTATCAGGCATGTCGCTGAATATTAATAAATAAGTTCTCCAGTTAAAAGACAGAAATTGTCAAGCTACAAGAACAAAAGGACCCAACTATTTGATTTTTACAAGAAGTATACTTTATATGTAAGGAAGCAGGCAGGTTGAAAGTAAAAGGATGAGTTCCATCTAACTTATGACTCAAAATCATCACAGTAGAGCTTAGAATAAATGACAATGAAAGTTAAAATGACCAGATCCCAGCGGCTAAAGCAGAGGTTAAAGAGAAAGTTGTGAGTATACACATACATGAGAATAGAAGAAAATTCTAAAATCAGTGAGTTACACTACCATCTCAGGATGCTAGCAAGTGATTAAACCCACAGATGACAAGAAAAAGGGAGAAACTGATGAAATGGAAAAAACAGAAGAAAGTCACACGTTAGTTGTTTGGAAAGAGAAATAAGTTGAAAATCTTATTTTCAAAGTTAACCAAGAATGCAGGAAAACACATATCATTAAAAATCAAAAAACATTACTATAGAACTATAGATATTAAAAGGATAATGTGGAAATATTATGACTAAGTATATTCCAATACATTTGACAACTTAGACAAAGTTAATCAGTTCTCTGAAAACTAATTTCTGAAACAAACTCCAAGGAGAAATAAAAGTTTTAATAATATTACATCTGTAAGTGTTCATTTCAGAGAAGTCAAGCAGTAGTTGTGTGCTTGTTCTTTTGTTTAGATAAATCAAATATCTAAATCTACTGCTTCATATTGTGGTGAGTTCCATACTGGTACAAATATCTAAATAGGCAATGGTATGAATCTCCGGCAAACTATGACTGAACTAGGTATGCCAATCATATTTTTCAGGCAAATACTGCTGCAGTGTTCAGTAAGTGCTAGCAGCACTGCAAAGAAGCAGCAGATAGGGCTGACGGAGGGGCTTAAGGGGTAGAGTGTTTGCATGAGGACCTGAGTTCTGTACCCCAAGTACAGAAGAAGAAAAGGAGGAAAAGGGGGAGGAGGAGGAAGGGGGAAAAAGAGGGGGAGGAGGAAGAGGAGGAGAAGGAAAAAGAAGAAGACGACAAAGATAGGTGCCAGGTACTTCTCTTTTCTTCACGTAGTATATCAACTCTGGACAAGTTTGATTTGACTCAGCCTTCAAAACAGAACTGGTATGCAACCATCTCTCATGAGCTCCAACACTTCCACTGTGTTCAAACCAGCACCATCTCTTCTGTGGCTCCCTGCATTGCTCATGAGCTGTGGGGTTTCTGCCCTTGCCTCCCTGTGGTTCTTTTCGAAAGGGCTCATCACTCAACTGCCATTCACTTAAGTTTGTGTTTTGAGAGACAACTGAGAGATGACTGGATCATAGAAGGCAAGTGAGTGGAAACTGAGTGATGAACCTTTTAGATCTGCCAACATCACAGAGATTGAGGCATCAGACCATATATTCCACCACACGAGAGAGTCACACTCACCGCACATCCACTTTTTAAAGTTTCAAAATGCACAAACTGAATCAGAGCTAATAATCTCAAAGAGCAGAATAATGTTGACTAGTAACTGATGAGGAGTCCCTCAGAGCTAATAATCTCAAAGAGCAGAATAATGTTGACTAGTAACTGATGAGGAGCCCCGGAGTTCTCGCTAGCATGAACTGCATTTGGTTCTCAAATCACTTGCACTCAACCAACATCCTTCAGACTCCTCTGTATAAACAGAGATTATGGTCAAGTTGATGTGTAGCTTTCAGAAATAGCTCTCACCAGAGAAGAATTGGGGGAATCTGGGCTGACTATCTCCTCAGCAGCTCTAATGTGAGATGGTTTTTCTCGAAGTTTTGCCCTTTCCAAAGCTTCTTTTTGACTAGAGAAGGAAACAAAAAATATTTTAAATAATATTCACAAGGACCAGCTCTATAATTTCCAGTGGGAAGTTAAGCAATCCTAATAAAACATGACAGATCCTTAGAACATTCAATAGGGAGTGACCAGGACAATATGTTAAGAAAAGTACGTAAGTGGTGCATGCCTATAATCTCAGATATGGAGGCTGAGGTAGGAGGATAGTGAGTTCAAAGCCAGCCTGGTCTGCAAACCATGACCCTGCTTTAAAAAAAAGAAAGAAAAAGAGAAGTACACAACTAGGAACTGACTTAGAGTTCTTATCACTTAATTGGTATGTGACCTTAGATAAGTCCTTAAACTCTTTGAGTTTCAATTTCCTATAATATGAAAAGACAGCAGAATTGGCAATTCTTACCTTAAAGGACACACACTATGAAAAGTCAAACACTATTTTTGTTGTCTTCACAGTGTTTTTCACAACCATCCTCATCATCAAATATATTAGTCTCAAAATTTGATTGTACATTAGAATTGAGGCAGGATAGATCAGAGTAAATGAAGCATGGGAAACAGTAGTCAGGAATTCAGAGACAAACATTGCGTTAATAAATAGCTGATTAAAAGCACACATGCACTATCTTCTTTGTTTTAAGTCTTACACACCTCAGCAAGCTGTAACATTTGGTAAAAGGGAAAAAGGTGTGTGGGGTTCTCTCCCTCTGACCTTGCCCACTGACCACATGACTAGCATGCTCTGGAAAGCAGCAAGGATATCTTAGAAAATGACACTTATGCTGGGGATAAAACACCTAGAAAAATGTGCCTCCAGGAACAAAAAGTGTTTACAAAAGAAAGTACTTATCACTAAGATGGACACTGTCTTGAAGGAAGCATTTGGCAGAACTCATCCTTTGGTTAAAGGAACACTAAAATATCTAGGCAATTATGCTCCCAAATTTAGTAAGTAGGCCAAACTTAAAAATCTCGGGGGCCAATTGATAAGGTAGTCTAACAGCAAGAATGGTGGATTATACCAGGTGTCCAGAACAAAAGAGAGCACTCATCCCAGGGTAAATAAGGGTCAAACCCTAAGTTCACTTTATTTCACTGTAAATATCTTTGATGTTAGAACACTCATTGCACCTGCTACCAGATGTGCCACACGCATGTCTAGGCTGTGTACTATCATTCTACCATTCCTTTACTTTGCTTTACTAAGAAATTTTCTTGGTCTCTACCATGATGCATCTTAAAATTCTTCTTCTTCTTCTTCTTTTTTTTTTTTGGCAACAACAACACAAACTTGTTACCTAAGAGCAGGTGGAGGCTGCCTACATTTTGGAGACCTCCTCCCTGGATCCTTGCTGGTTCTGGTAACAGAACAACTTAGAAACACTTTCTGGACAACAAATTCTTTAGTCCTAGGAACTCTGATTTATTATATTTTGAGGTATAAAAATCTTTATTTTAAAAAAGACTTTCCTATTGAGTCTGCATACTTGGAACAGGATTTGGAACAATTTCCTCTGATCTATGAAGCTGAAAGTTGATAAAAATTTAAATGACACAGGTAGTAAGTGTCATGGATGTAACTCATGTGGATTCCTGTCTCCAGGTCCAACCGCTCTTTCTACTATGTCAGGTATTCTCACCTGAACAGCCTGGATTATAGAGACTTATTTTATAAGTACACATATTCCATCAGCAGTTTCTAAAAATGCAGATCCCCAGCTTGCTGAAGCCAGAACAGAATTCCGTTACTCACAAGACAGCTCTGCACTTGTAGCACTCGTTTTTATAGAGCTTTCCATCAGCACCACGCACGGGGTCGTTCTCTCGTGTACAGCGGAGCTCATCGTTCCTTATGTACTTTCGAAAGTCACCGCATTCATCCTAGAAAATGAGAAGGGGGAAGTGAACAAGGCGTTTTCCCTTTTTTGCTTGGTGGTTTTCTCAAACTTGATTTTGGGAAGCTCTCTCTTGTCTCTGGGCTGCGACTCACTGACTGCACTTTTGGCAATGGAGGCCAAGGAACTCCCAGACTGTCTAAACTTTGCATCCTCCGCTTCATTCGGAACCTCTTTGCACTGGTCCTAAATGCAGAGAAACAAAACAACACTTGACAGACCCTTCTTGGCTCTGGCTCCATTTTATTCACTGTTCTTTCCCCCCATTTTCCACATGAGGTGTGTTCTTAACCCAAGGACAGTCTCATGACAATCTAACTCTACAAATGACTGAATGAAGATGTCTTCCTTGCAGTTTTGAAAAGCAAATAGAAAAGGCAGCATGATGCATGCAGACTATTGATTTGTTGCTTATGAGAAAATCATCTGGACAAAACAGAAAAAAGAAACATCAAAGAGCAAAGCTAAACAGAAGACTCGAGATTAATTTATATCACCTAAATTATTAAAATTAACTTTGACAAGCTACTTAATCTCATTTCACATTTAAACTGTCAGAGATAAGCATGCAGCTGAGGAGGTAAAGAATTGTTCTATTTGTCAACCCATATTTCTTCTAAAACAGACTGAAGCAATAATCGACACACACTGTAGGAGAATTCTCTACAGAATCAAGAAAAGCATCAAATCCCCAAACCAGAACAACAAAAAAATCTTATTATGAACCAAAGTGACAATGTTAGCAAAATCAATTTTATATAAAATATTAGTATGTTTATTATCTAAAACCATAGAAGAAGGCAAGATTGTGAAGGCAAAAAGTAAAGTAGTTATTTTGGTATCTTCTAAGAAATAACCTTTGCATCATTTGAGGGCTTGGAACTTGACTTTTCTTCATCATTCTTTTTTCTTTCACTAGCTTCTCTCTCACTGCAGAATAAGAAGTGATAGGATTTAATTTTTCTAGGACTGTTATTGAATTGTCTTTAATCATGTGATTTTTCCTGACTTTAAGCATTAACAAATCTAACACTCTTTTCTCATACCTATAAGTCTGAAAAGAATTTTTATTAGTTACTTCTGAATTGCAATTTTCATATTATATTTGAGGCAATGTTTTCAACTTTCATCAATTCAGTTACTATACTGTCATAAAGAATGGCAGGATACTAAAAAGCTGTCACTTTTTTCCTTTTTAATTTTTTCAATTAAACTAGAACTAAGCTCTCATTTTTATAGTTTTTTACATAGTTATTATACTTTAAAATTTATAAATTTAAAAAGTATTATCACCTTGAATCCCCACAAAAACTGTATTATGTAGCTTTTGTAGTTCTTTTACACATAAGAAGAATGGAAACTCTCCAAAGTGAGCTGACCTGTCCCAGATTACCTACTGATTGACTTAAAAAAAAAAAAAACTCAATGATTCTGTCACTGTACATTGGCTCTTTTCCCACTCCAAAAGTTCCAGGTAGGATGATGCTTCTTATCATTAAAATAAAAATATTCTTGTCAAAGTGCTTTGGAAAGTAACTGTCTTCTTCATGAAAAAAGAGGTACTTATCTTTATGTGTGAAGCCAACTGTCACAGGCTATAAAGGAGCAGGAATAAGGGGTTGGAGGGAGGAGAGAATGAGAATATGATGGAGGAGAGTATGCACTGTATGCATAAATGGAGTTATCACATTGAAACCTCCTCATATTATTAGTGTAATATTTTTGAATAATGCTAATTCAAAAATAAAACAAAATGAATAGGAACTATTTTCTGCAAACAGGCACAAGGTCGTATTTATGGACAAGCCTTTCCACGTACAAGATGCTTTGACACATGGCACACTTGTTGAGGTGCATCTTGCCATATGGGCCTCGAACAGGGTCATTTTCTCTCGTGCAGATCAGCTTTCCATCCTTCTGCTTGCTCCGGAACTCATGGCACTGATCCTGCCAATAGGAGCAAAACAAAAACAAAAACAAAAACAAAAAGATGTTCCTATGACAGTCTAATCTTTAACACCTGAAAACATGTTTGCCCAGTGGAATTTCACTACTGCCGAAAGCAGTCTGTTGTTTTATTTTTTTCTTTTTATCCAGTACTAGGATTGAATTTAGGGCCTTGTGTATGCCAGGCAAGCTTTTCAGACAGGGTCTAGGTAAGTTTGTCATGGCTGGCCTCTAACTTGTGATCCTCCTGCCTCTGTTTCCTAAGCAGCTGAGATTACAGGGATGTACTACCTCGCGTAGATATCCCATTGTATATTATACAGTCCTCTGTGAGGCTGAGGCCCACATCTGTGTCCCTGCAGCTGCACTCATCACTCCTCGCACAGGAAGTCTAATTAAAAAACATAACAAGCATCCCATCCTCCTTGCCGAAAAAACAGAAACAAACAAAAAAAGCATAAATTTAAAATACCCCATTGGCAAGACATACAAATGTGTAAACTCAGCTTTGCTCCTCAATAACAAATTTTAAGAATTAAAGCTTTTTTATCACAAGCCATTTTTATTACATGCCATGAATTTGTTGTATGCACTAACAGATTTCATTTAGCAGTCATACGCAAGTCCTAAGATAAACACTCACTACCCTCATTTTATAGATGAGAACAATAAGGCTCAGAGAGGTTAAGTAGTTAATGTAGCGGCTGACTTGTGACCAGAAGTCCACTTACAACTAGGCTAGTCTTTTTCACTATTTTGCATTTACATGGCAGAGAATAAAGCTCCTGTCCATTTTTAAGAAAACAGATCTTGGCTTCTTCATTGATTGAAAAATCAGGGCCTTAAAAAGAAGCCAGTAAAATTGGCTTCTGTTGAAGACATGAGGTCTGGCCTCTGTGAAGTCTTTGGCAATTTACAGAAGTCTCTTGAGGTTCCTTCCAAAAGAGACTAAATAGAGATATGGAAACACTATCCTGAAAACATACTGCTCGTGACCTAGGTTGTAGCTACTCCTCTTTCTTTAAATTGTGATTACCCCAAAATAATTCTAGGCCTAACTTTTATCTGGTACATTTTTAAAAACTGTGGAATTTAATACCTGATCAATTAACTTTCTCACAATCATCTTCAGAAGTATTTTCCTTTCCAGGTGCCCCCAGGACAACACACATGTAAGTTAATGATGGCATCCATCTGCCATGTAGCTTCAAAAGACTGATCATCTACTCTTCTACTATTACTTATGTGTAGCTATTGGCTCTTAAATTTTTCTCAGAATGTAAATTTGGAGCAACCCATGACATAGTCTTGGGACTGTTTAAATATGAGAATTTGCAACCTTATTTCACATTGCATATGTAGATAAAACCACAGCTTTATTTTGAACATACACAAAAATATCAGTATTTTATATATACATTTAAATAGTTACGATTTTGCTTTTCTAATTAGAGTTCATAGACAGATTAGAAAAGATTGTGCTGTGTAATTTTCTGTGCTGTTACATTGAATTCTATCTATAGATCCCCAAATTGAACACCAGGTGGCAGTAAACGGCCACATAAAGAGTTTGTATGGTGGCTCATGTTTCATAATCCTAACTGCTCAGGAGGCAGAGATTGGGAGGATGGTGATTTGGTGGTTTGAGGCCAGTCTGAGTCCATCTCAGCCAATAAAAACTGGGCATGGTGGTGTGTGTCTGTTAATACATTTACATGGGAAAAATAAATATGAAGATCACAATGCAAGGCTGGCCCAGGTACAAATGCAAGACCCTATCCACAGAATAACTAAGCACAACTCAGGTGATAGAGTGCCTGCCTAGCAAGTGCAAGGCCCTGAGTTTAAACCCCAGTACCACCATTAAAAAAAAAAAACAACAGAATTTTTCATGTAGAACTCTAAATTTTTGATACTTGCTTTCGTGTTTGTAATTTTTGGCATTTGTTTGCTTGATTATTTAGATATTAAGTGTTACCTGGTCCTACCTGCTGGTGTTGCTCTTAGGGAGCTCTTAGTTGTTATTACTTTGTAAGACATTTCCATGTTTTTCATGTTTATGGTTATATCCTCAATGATTGGGGGAAAGTGAGCATTCCAAAGAACATCTGTTCATTGAATCCCCAATACAACTGTGATATCCAGAATGTATTACCTCTTTGTCATTGCCCTTTCCTTCTCTGTTTCTCTTGCCTTCTTCCTCTTTCTTTTTCTTTTCAGCTGCTTCCCTTTCCCTGAAAGAATGAAAGGCCAGAAACATTTCTACCAAAGTTAATAAACACTTCATTAATTATACATCTGCTTCTGAAACAATTGACTTTTGCTCAAATTGTTGAGAAATGATTATCATATTTTAAGACCCATTATCAAACTCTCGTTTTTGGAAAAATACTCACAGTTTTTCCTTACACATAGAACACTTATTGCCATGTGTCTTGCCATCTGGACCTCGGACAGGGTCACTTTCTCGAGTGCAGATAAGTTGTCCATTTTTCATTTGGCTTCTAAACTGATCACACACATCCTGAAAAGAAGGAAAGTTTATGTTGGAAATGCTGTTTACATATAGCATGACTGGATTTGAAAATTAGAAGGTTTCTATCCAAGAGTCAGGCAACCTCTTAATCTTGTCGTAGTAGACAGAATCATGGCCAGAGAAAATCCATGTCTGATTTTCTGGTGTCTGTAATTATGATGCTTTACTTGTCAAGGAGTAGTTATGGTTGAATATGAAAACAAGTTGTTAATCAGCTGTATTTGAAATGGGGAGGTCATTGGGGATTTTTGGGGTGGGCCCACTGTAATCCCAAAGGTTCTTATTCTCTCGAGAGGGAAACAAGGGACTCAGTGTCAGAATGGCAGAGCATAAGAAAGACTTGAGTGGCATTGCTGGTTTAAAGATGCAATAGACCAAGCAATACAGGCAGTCTCCAGAAGTTAGAAAAGACAAAGAAACAGTTCCCCAGAGCTTCCACAAAGGAATGCAACTTTACCAAGATCTGGTTTTAGTGAGACCATTCAGAACTTTTGAACTCCACAAATGTAAGAAAATAACCTTGTGTTGTAAGCCACTATTTATAACAGCAATAAAAAGTAATATACTTGTAGAATCTAGTTTTGTCTAAAATAATGTTTAAAAGCCTTATTTGGCCATGCTGTTAAGAAATTAAATAAACTATGATTTGTAAATTTTAAGACTGCAGGATTTCCATTTTGTATTAGATTTTTACACTGAACAAGTTGCCAGTGTTGATTACTGCTTCTGACTTTCTAAGTGCAAGATGTTGGCAAACCATGTTGACAATCTCTTTCTACTGTTTTTGATGGCCAAGTGTTGACTGACAGAAAGACCATTCTGTCAAAACCTAGTTAATGACTCACCTTTCTGGGTCCAGTCCCATTTGATCTTAAGCCAGAATTATTTTCTTTTTCTTCAATTTCTCTTTGCCTACAAGAGAAAAGGGTTACCTATCATCTTGTTGGCACAAACTGGGGAATCCAGGGACCTGAAAGTAAGCTTCTTAAACCTCTTCCTTTATGGTCATTAAATCTTCCCCCTCAAGACAGTCAGTGCCATTATTAAGACTCCAGTGCAAAAGGCTTATTCATCACAGGCCACATCACTCAGAAAATTCCAAAGTCTGTGTTACTAGTGTCCAAACTTATCTCCCTATAACCTCCATTCTTTAGTCTTCATTTCCATTTTTGGAACAGCATAGGATACTCCTGGTGAATTGACTACTTCATGACATCATTCCTTCAGGTATTGAAGGCAAGTTTCCTCTGTTCAACTTTTATCATGACTTATGTTTTCTAATGCTCCATCAACTCTCCATTTTTGTTTTGAAGTCAACCTATTAGTCTTAAAGTGGTCTTACCTTTCTCATTAAATATTTATGCCAGTGGTCACATGCATAAGAATTACTTGAGAGACTTAAAAATTCAGATTCACTGATCATCTCAACACTTTTATTCATAAAGTCTGGATTTGGGCTTAATAACCTGACAATCAAGTCAGGAAATTTTTATGAGATTAAGCCAAGATCTAAGTATTACAAAATTCCAGCTTATGTTATTTCTTTTTCAAAATTTCACTTGACTTTTCACACAAAACAATGTGTATATATATTATCACATGTGTACAATTTTAATTAACATATATTTGTTTTGTAGGGAATTCCTTTTGAATGTAAGGAAACAGAGAGGACAATAGAATACAATGAACAATTCAAGAAAATTTCAAGTCATGACATTTTAGTCAAGTAAATTATTGAAAGAAAACCAGATACCAGCAGCTTGTGCCAGTCATCCTAAGCTATATGGGAAGCTGAGATCAGGAAGACTTTGGCTCCAGGCCTGGAGAGACTCTATCTCAAAAATAACCAGAGAAAAGGGGTGAGACTCTATCTCAAAAACAGAGAAAAAAGGGATAAGGTCGTGGCTCAAGGATAGAGCACCTGTCTAGCAAATGTGAAGCCCTGAGTTCAAATCCTAGTATTGCCTCCCCCTGCCCCCAAATTATTGCTAGAAGAGGATGCCTATAGTGACCCAGTTGGTAGAATTCTAATTATAGTCAGAAATCAGTTGGAAAACCTGTAGTGGCATCTGACCACACATGGAATAAATCCCAATGTCTTTCCCATGGTATTAAACAGCCCTACAGTATCTTTTCAAATTCATTTCCTATAATTGTCCCCATGATTTAATAGTCTTGAGGTCTAGTGGTCTCTTTTTGGGTTCTAAGGCCTGTAAATTTTCATACATATGTTCAGGTCTTGCACTGTCGAGAGACAGTGCAAATCTTCTTCCAGATTTCCAAGTGGTTTGCTTTACTCATGTCTTATGGGTCTCCTTCAAATGTCAGGCGTTCCTTGAACACCATAAATAAAATAGCAGCACCATTCTCTTTCTGCAGCCTTACACTGCCTTATTATTATTACCATCTTGTCTTATATTATGTAGTTATTTGCTTATTTATCATCTGTCTGTATTCTATTCTGTTCTATTATAATTTCATAATAGCAGAATCTTGCCCATGAAAAGTGCCTGTTACATAGTATGCAGACAAAAACCATTTAATGTAGCATAATCTTTAAAATACTGTAAAAACTAATTGATGTTATTTTCTGTTAGTGAATCCAAGTATCTTATAACAAATTTTTATCTTTTTTGAGGGGAGTACTAGAGTTTGAATTTACTCCCTCTTGTTTGCTCTTCCACTTAAACCATGCCTCCAGTCATTTTAATTTTATTGTTTATTCAATAGTTTCCCACTTCTCCCCAGACTGCCTTGGACTCTGATCCTCCTACCTATGTCTCCAGTGTAGCTGGAATCATAGGTGTATGCCAACACACCTGGCCTATTGGCTGAGGTGAGATCTTGCTAACTTTTTTTCCCAAGCTAGGTTTGAACCTCAATTCTTCCAATCTCTACCTCCCAGAGCTAGGATTAATATCTTAATAATCTTCCACATTTGAGAATCAATGCTTGTTCTTGATTACACTCTCGTATCTTCAAAGTATTCATTATGCAAAAAGGGTAACAAGTAAGAGACAATAATATTAGTCTACTTATTATTGTAGATGATGTTATCAAGTATTTCACTGAACATTAATGACAACACTGCCAGTGACAGTTCACCCTTGTTACATGTTTACTTTGTACCAGGCAGTGTGCTGAGTTTTGCATGATTCATCTTGCTTAACTCTAACAAGAAACACTACTTGGCTCCTAACACTACTTGGCTCCTGTGATTATACTTGCCTTTTCTACCTTACAAGCATGGCATATTGAAGCCTTGAGAACACAGAACTAAAATAGCTCTCTGATGCTGGACCCTTCACTCTGTTATCCTGCTTCTATTGAAGAATATTAGTAATGTAGAGTAAACATTAAGGACAATATTCAGAAGAATTGGATTCTAACTTGAGCCCTAAAGTTTACTCCTCATGAGGCCTTGAATAAGCCATTTTCAGTTTTGCAATTGGTAAATGCAACATTTGGATAAGATTGCTCACATAGTCTGTATGACCATAATATTGTAAAAAAAGTTTTAGGTAGAAAGGTGAGGAATGTGTGTGCTGTGGGTAAGAGGGAACATTATATACTTAATAAACATATAACAATTAATTGCCATAGCTAAGTGCATTGTGGTGAGTTTTAAAACTACAAATACTCTTTAAGGTTATCTAGAACTACCTCAATTTAGGCTTGGCCTAACAACACCAATCAATAGTGGCTGAATTCAGTTCTAAAACTCTCTGCTTCTATATATTCACCAAGGAAAATAGAAGGAGCAGTCTCTTGTTTGTACAATAAGTGTGTCCTACACATTTGATAAGAAGCAGCTCTCTTTAGCTGCACTGGTAATTTATTCCAAATGACAACCATAAAGTCTTCCCAGGATTCAGGCACAATGAAGAACAATTTTCCAGCATGATGGCACTTACAGGTCACAGAACTATAACAGAAAACAGAGAAGGAAGCAGCCACTTGACCAGTTGTCCTTCTAGGGCTTATGCTCCTTAGAGGGGAGAGGTTTTTTTTTTTTATCTTTTTTTTTTTGGTGCTGGGATCGAACCCAGGGCCTCACGCATGCTAGGCAAGCACTGTACCACCAAGCTACATCCCAGCCCCTTATGCTCCTTAGAAAATACAGGGGAAAGAGATAACATTTAGGAATTAACAAAAAGAGTGGCTTTCATGGAGGAAGCCATACAAAACAGGAAGTAGCCATTAATTCAAGAAGGATATGTGACTTTCTTTTAGACATGCTGTTGTGATAAGAACTTACAGTAATTCTTTACACATGGCACATTTATTGTTGTATGACTTCCCGTCAGCACCACGTACAGGGTCACTCTCCCGAGTACAGCTGAGTTTTCCATTTTTCATAATTTCCCGAAACTCAGCACATGGATCCTGAAAAGGGAACAGAAAGCAGGCTTCCTGAATTAATTAATATCTTCTCTTTAAATGTGGTAAATAATCTGAGTAAGAAAAGCTATTTTTTATATACCCTTATAAGAATTATACCATCTAATGAAGACCAGTGGAACAGAATAGAGGACCCAAATATGAATCTGTGCAGCTACACTCACCTAATTTTTGACAAAGGTGTCAAAAACATACACTGGAGATAAGATAGCTTCTTCAACAAATGTTGCTGGGAAAATTGGTTATCTGCATGTAGAAAACTAAAACTAGATCCATACCTGTCACCCTGCACTAATATCAATTCAAAGTGGATTAAGGACCTTAATATCAGACCTGAAACCTTGAAGATAGTACAGGAAAGAGCAGGGTATACACTGGAAGCAACAGGCATAGGCAAGGACTTCCTCAAGCAGCTCAGCAACTAAGAGAAAAGATTGACAAATGAGATTACATGAAATAAAAAAGCTTTTGCACAACAGAAGAAATGGTCTCTAAATTGAAGAGGTCACCCACAGAATGAAAGAAAATCTTTACTACCTAGACATCAGACAGAGACTGATAACCAGAATATACAGGGTGCTGAAAAAACTATTAACTCCCAAAGAATCAATGGCTCAATAAAGAAATGGGCAACTAAACTAAACAGAACCTTTTCAAAAGAGGAAGTCCAAATGGCTAAAAAACACATGAAAAACCATTCACCATCCCTGGCCATAAAGGAAATGCAAATCAAAACCACACTAAATAAGATTCCACCTCACTTCTGTTCGAAGAGCTACCATCAAGAACACCACCAACAACAAATGTTGGTAAGGATGTGGGGAAAAAGGAGCCCTCATACACTGCTGGTAGAAATGTAAGCCAGTACAACTACTATGGAAAACAATATGGAGGCTTCTTAAAAAACTAAAAATAGATCCGCCATACAATCCAGCAATACCACTCCTAGGGATATACCCAAAGGAATGTGAGTCAGGTTACAAGAAAACCATCTGCACACCCATGTTTATTACAGCACTATTCACAACAGCCAAGCTATGCAAACAGCCAAGATGCCCCACTACTGACTAATGGATTAAGAAAATATGGTATTTATACACAATGGAATTTTATTCAGCTACAAAGAAGAACGAAATTTTTTCATTCACAGGTAAATACTGGAACTGGAGAGCATCATCTTAAGCAAAGTTAGTCAGGCTCACAAAGCCAAAAATCACATGTTCTCCCTCATATGTTGGTTATAGACCTAAAACAAATGCATAGTATTATTGGACACGGGTCACACTAAGGGGAGACTACGCATAGGAGGGATAGGGTAAGGGAAGAAAATCAAAAACTTGAATGTGGTTGATATGCTCACTGTATAGAAGCAAATATATTAACTTTAAACTGGAAGAGGCCACTATGGGAAGCAGACAGGAAGTAGTGAAGATGTCTGGTAGAGATGAACCAATTTGAGATGTAATACATAAATGCATGGGAACAACACAAGGACTCTCCCTATATAGACATTTTAATCTCAAACTAGCAAAAATGCTGTGTTTTTCTTATTATCTTTTATGTTTTTTCTTCTACAAAATCAGAGAACAAGAGGGTGGAACAGGTTCTGCCCAGAAGCAGAGGGGTGCCTCTATATACACATGTAAGTAAATGCAAAAATGATACCTGTTGAGACTGTCCCGGGAATTGGGGGCAGGGGTACGAAAGAGAGCAGTGGATGGGATGAATTCAAATATGACATATTTGATTCATTGGAAGAACTTTTGCAAATACTCCAATGTACCCTCACCCAGCACAACAATAATAAAATAAAGAAAAAAAAACACTTATGTCATCTAATAATGTGGATAAGGTGGCTATTCACAGAGCAACAGAAGGTAGAATCACCCATATGCTAATTCCAAGGAGTCAGTTGTCTTAACTCCTAATATTCCCTTTAAGGATTTACAAAGAGAAATTATACAGTTGGCTGGGGCTTAACAGCATAGATTAAAAGTCAGAAAACCATAGCTCACAGGCCAAATCTGGTGTTCTGACATGAAACACTTCATTGGAACACATATGCATTTATTTAGGTGCTATTTATGTCTCACTTCCCACAATAATGGCAGAAGTAAATAGTTACGACCACATGACTTGCAATTCTAGAGAATTTACTAAGTAGTTTTTTTATAGGAACAATACTGAAATCTGGTGTGAGTAGGAAGGAAATGCTGTGGGGGGTAAGTACAAGCAATGCAAAATGTCAAGGGAGGACAGGCTTGACTGAATTGTGGAGAAGACAGACAAAATGTCTAAACATGTCCATTTCCTGAGAGTGAGAATCCAGCCTCCTAATGCAGAAAAGGTAGGAAAAACAGAAGACTTGAAAGCATAGGATGATCTTGATAATCCAAGGCCATAGCACAATAAATAAATAAGGTGACTGTAATCTGATGAAACTATTCACTGGCCCAGAGTTATCTTATGTAACATTTTAAAGTATCAAGCTGGCACTTTAAACTGTCTAAGAAACATGCTAATCTTGCGTACATTATTTCATTTTGTCTCCATAAGAGTACTGCTAGATGAGAGAGATAAAAGGATGTATCAATGCTTCCCAAGTCTAAGCGGTAGGTGGAAGGACTGTACTCCAAACTTGTTCCAAAATCCGTGCTCTTTCATCATATTATGCTACCTTGGACCAATAGAAAATATATATCAAAAACTTGGCTCCATCCTGGACAAGAAAGAATAATAAAAGAAAATGAGGAGTATGTGATACTTATGAGAACGAATACGGACTTGAGGGGATACCATCATAATGTTATTTCTAGGTTTAAAAAGTCAAACAGAGCCTTAGAGAAGCTACAATTGCTACCATCTTAATCTTTAACCTTAAAGTGCTCTGTTCTTCTAAGATCCATTCAAACTCATCATTCCCTACATTTTCCTTTGCCATGCCATAGTCTTACTGATAATGAGTCTGGCCCACCCTGGCTGTGGAAATTCTCACCTCAGTTTTCCCTCCTCCACCATTAGGCCTATGCCCCACAGCATTTCTCTGATTTTCCTCTTCTTTTCTCTTTCTTTCTTCATCTTCTCTCTGGCTGGAAATTAGAAAGTGGAAAACAGTTCACAGAAAGTGGAGCACATTTCTATGAGTGTTTCATTACATGACCAACAGAGACTAGTGCAGAACACACCAGCAATCCTTAACATCCATTATACTATAAGTCCTCTTAAGAATAAAAAAAGAATTGTATGAGGTCCTTTGCCTGGAAAATCTCTCACTACAGTAAAAGAAAACCAATATATACATAACTGCAAATAAGACAAGGTGAAAAATTAATTAGCATTTCCTAAATGTTTGCTGGGAATCTCCAGCTGTATTTCTCTTATGTCCCACATATTCAAAAGGCCCCTACATAATTATTTTCTGTAACAAGCATGAACTTTCTCCTGGATTCTCTGTCAAGTGGAATCCACTCTGCTCCCTCTTTTAACCTGCATGCCCATTGCCACATAACATTGATTTTACCTTCACAATGTCTCCACCTTGATCTACTCACCTCCTGCCCTACTCCTGGATTTAGTGGCCCCTCACTGGTTTACTGTAACCCTTTCTCCCCACATATCAACGGTGTTCTGAATTTGAGTCCCTTCCTCCTCTTTTTCTTCTTTTGACTGCTGATATGTGACTCTTCCTAAAGGAACTATATTCCTGTCACTTGCTTTCCTACAGGAAAAAGTTCAGCAACTTCCCACTACATGTAGAATTGACCTCAAGAGTCCTGGGTTTGGCATTCAAAGTGTAAAGTAAGTAGGTTCTAATAAACTAAATGACTTGTTCTTTACTTACTATAGTTTTCTTAACTTATATCTTCAATTATGGTGTTCTCTCATTCCTTCTTGTCATGACTCTATCTCACCCAAATGATAAGGCCCAATTCTGAAAATTTACTACTAGTGGTCCCTGAAGAGCTACAGCATAAAAAAAGCATCGTTTTCATTTAGCAATTTCTCTTTCATGTCATGTTAGTTTATGTCCATGTCTAATACCTAGTGAACTATATGATTTTTGAGAAGAGTATCTGTTTCATTCATCCCTGCCTAGTTACTATGCACATTGTACATTGTGGACATTCTGCAAATTGTTGTTAAATGACTTAAATATTTTAAATGTACTTCCAAACTTTGTGTGAACTACTTTTCATTTTCTGAAATGATAAATTTTCAAAAATTTAGGTATAGAAATAAGATTGGCAATAAAATCTGTGTATTTCCTTCCCAATAAGAGTCCCAAAATAATTCCAAAGAAGGGATCCACTTGACAAAGACTTAAAAAATTATCAAGAAAGATGTTATGATTTCCTGGTAGATTCTCTCCTAGAACTAACAGAGACTATAATAACCTAATAATGTATTTTCTGTCCCTGGAACTATGAATATTGGCCATTCTAAAAAGAGTCACCTGGAAATGCTTTACAGATGGTTATTTCTTTATATGTAAGGAAAGGAAAACAAAATATGTACTATGCCTGGCTTTCTGCCTCCCCAACTCTCCTAACCAACACAGGAGGGTTATTTGTGCACTCACAAGACTGCCTTACACATGGCACACTTGTTGCCATGGGTCTTCCCATCTGGGCCACGGACAGGGTCATTTTCTCGTGTGCAGTAAAGATTTCCATTTTGTAAAAGACTCCTAAATTCACTGCATGTATCCTAGAAGAAGGAGATAAAAAAGGAGTTTGAGCATTTTCTTGGATATTTGTTTGCTTGGTTTCTACTAAATAATTCCTAGAAAAAGAAAGAGAAAATGTTCTAAAGATTTTTTTCTCAAGCAATTGAACCATTCAATTCTTATTAAGCAATTAAGCACGTAGGACTTAAAAAAGAAGTTTGTGGCCAGGTATGGCAGCTCAAACCTATAATCCTAGCTACTCTGGAGATAGAGATTGGAAGGACTGTGGTTCGGAGCCAATCAGGGCAAAATTTCTTGAGACCCCATCTCAACCAATGGCTGGGTATGGTGGCGTGTGTCTTTCATCCCAGCTACACAGGGAAAGCACAAATAAGAGGATTGTTGTCCAGGCTGGCCAAAGCATAAAGTGAGATCATACTTCAAAAATAATCAGTGCAAAAAGGGCTGACAGAGAGGCTCAAGAAAATATTATTTAGGATGCTTCTATTTTATTTCATCTCTACAGATTGACACCAGAAAATGATCAAAAGTGAAGGAATAAACAAGCACCTAATTGGACCAAATGTGACAATCCAAAAACACATAGGGTGTTAGAAAGAATGCTGGATTTGGTGTCAGGAAGTCTATTGTTGAGCAGATTACTGTTCTCATTTGTTACCTGTAAGAACTTTGAAATATGAAGATGCAGGTACTAATACTAATATCCCACGAACTTTATAAGCAAGTTCTTCCTTCTCTGTGGATTTAAATCTTCATTTTACAATATGGGGATGGAGTATACTAGGGGTTGAAAACATGGACTATGAGCAAAATTTTGCCAATGTCCTGTTTTTGTGGATATGGATTTATGGGAACACAGTCATACTACTTGTGTGCACACCATTCATGTCTGTGTTGCAGCTACACTAGCAGAGTTCAGCAGTGGTGGCAGAGGTGGTATGGCCAAAATTATCTACTACTTGGTCCATAAGAAAAAGTTTGCCAAACCCTGGACTAAATGACCCCAAGTTTCCTCATAGCTAAGACATTCCACAATTTCACGAGTGATTTTTAGAGAAATGGCAAAACTGCACCCTTTCATTGTGGTGTAGAGATTCCAGGACAAGTACCTTTTCAGCTTCTCTTTTAGCTTTTGCTCTGGATTCAGCTTCTTTTTCTTTTGCTTCCTGCAAGCTATAAGAGAGGAGGAAAGGAGAACCATTCCTAGCACCCAATGCAGGTTATCTCAAAGAGAAGAACCTCTCTGTGTATGATTATTCCATGACTTCACCTCTGCCAACTATGCTTGGGAATCAGACCATAAGTGCAAGTACCTCACATCATTGTTCTTCATGTTGCTTAGAAAATATGACATACATGCCATAGTAAAGAAGTCAACACATTTTTATAGAAGATAAAGATATCATTCTTCCTAGAAACCAACTATAGGATATTGACTGGATGCTAATATATTTTCAGCCTGTTAGCACCGAATGGTTACACCTTTTCATTAGTCATGGCTATGCCCTACTGTACACAGAAAACAGAAAGCTGGGTTCTTCTATGTGCCATTAACTTTAGATTAACTTGCCATTATGACATGGCCCTCCCTGGATGGTGATTCAAGCACCTTTAACAACACTGAAGTATTAGAAAGAAATGTGCTTTGTATGAGGCTTTATAATAATAAATCCCAACTCAATACAAAGAAAGACAGGCTCCAATATCTACCTGTGGAGCAAGCCTCCAGGGTCATCCTTCTTGCCCACCCAACATGGTTTTTCTTCTACACTCAACAGCAGTGGCTGCAGCTTTACTCACAAGAAGGCCTCACACATGGAGCAGGTATTGCCATGGATTTTCCCATCTAGACCCTCAATAGGGTCATTTTCTCTGGTACAGGAGAGTCGGCCATTTCTCACATGCTGACGGTACTCACGGCAGAGCTCCTGCCAAATGAAGGAGGATTGAAGAATAAAATAATTAAACACTGGAAATCCTCCTCCATATCACCCCTTCAAAAACTATGATATAATGCCCCAAACATAACAGATACATAGAAAAAGTGATAGGAATTCAATATTAGCTAAGATTTCAGAAACCCAAGTCACACATTATTTAGAACATAAGATTGCTGTTATTAATCTCATTAGAAAACCTTCAACTAAAACTGTGAGAAATAAAAAGAATAAATTACTGTCTTTGAAATTGGTGAAGGAATTCATAGTATGCAGAATAAAAGCTCTCACTCTCATCTGTATGTCCAAGTCTTATACCTGGGAGCTGAGAGTATATTATGTAACATGGCAAAATGGATTTCACAGATGTGGACTGGATTAAGAACTTTGAGATAGAAAAAATATCCTGGATTTCCCTAATGGGGTCAATCATTAAACTGAAGAATGAGACAGAACAGAGAATGAGATATAACTGTAGCCAGAGACATGCAATGTTGCTGGTTTTGGAGATGGAGGAAGGAGTCTAAAATCTAAGAAACAAGGTTGTTTTCCAGAAGCTGGAAGAAGCAAGGAGATGGATTCTTTCCTAGAGACTCCAGGTGGGAATGCAGTCTTGCCAACCCTTTGCTCTTATGTAGTGATATCTTTATTAAACTTCTAACCTACAAAATCAAAGATAATGAACTTATGTTGGTTTAAGTCACTGAGTTGTGATAATTTGTTACAGCAGCCAATAAGAATTTTTACTTTCTCTGGAGAAAATATATAAAAGTCACTAAAAGTTGGAATAAAGCAAATTATATAACTGAAATAAAATTTGAAACCTGGTATTATAAATGATAGAGTTATAAATATATTTGCATAACATATATTGAAGATCTTTAGGGAGCAGCTAACAATTCTTCTGAGCCATGACAAGTGGCCTAATTTTTGATAGATAGAAGTAAGGGACGTTACTGACTAAGATCAATGCATGTAGAAGATAAGAGTTCATTGTATTCTGAAGAACTGGTGAATTGTCTAATGTAACACATCCCATTAGACCATGAAATCAGACAAATAACAATATGAATAATAAATATACTATTGTATATTGAGGACTCAATATATGGGAGACCTTGTTACATATAGATAAATTTATTAAGACTTAATAAAATAATACATGTGATAATAATATTCTTATTTTATAAGTGAGGAAACTAAGATACACAGGTATTCACTGTCTGACTTTCCTGATAAGAAGATGGAGCAAGGATTTGAAATCTGACAGTGTGAGTCCAGATCCACTTATTTTAGCCACAATATTATTAAATCCACAAACCAAAGGGCCTAGAGATAATTCTTGGCATGTTCAAGAAGCAACAAGATGGCCAGTGTAAAAGGCACAAGAACAATTTGCAGAAAAATAGGAAATGAAGCATGGAAAGTGATTAGGGATTACATCATGTAAGCTACTAGAACTTTGGTTCTTATTCTTGGTGAAATGAGAAGTCACTGGGTGACATAACTAACCTTATGTTTCTAAAAATATATTATTGTGTTTAAACATGAAAAAGTAGATATTAAGGAGCAAAGGTAAGCACAGAGATATATAAATGAGCTCTTCCAAAATAGAAAATAATAAAGGAAAGGAGTATATCAAAATCTGGGTATAGCCTGTAGTAATATTATAAATGGCAAAAGGGTAAATAAGTTCAGTAAGGAAGAAAGCATCTCCTTATATATGAGTATCTAAATATATTTGCTCAGTATGCAGTCACAAAGGATGCTGGGATTGAGAAGAGGGGCTAGGAGACTCCCCTAGGGAAAATGATCTTGAAATTTTATATGCTCTGATGATCTGAAACAACTACCTGTACTGCTTCTCTCTTAACCTTTTCACTCTCAACTTTCTCCTTTTCTTCTTTAGTATTATTTTTCTTCTCTTCTTCTTCAAGTTGGCTGCAATAGAAGGAGACACAAGCTGAGTACAATTTTCCACTAATTCTGGTGGTATGTTTCAAGAAGAAGTAAGTATCTTACAAACCAATGATCAGAAATCTTCCAGACAATCATATCCATCCCAAGAAGTGCTATTGCTTTGGCTAATATGCAGATGAATTCAGTAATCTACATTTCTCCTCTCAAAAAGCAATAATGATGAAACAAGCAGGCACTTTTAATCAGTATGAGGCCTTTAGGTAGTATTACAATTTGCAGGTCAGTGAGTTCAATGATGTATAAGAAGCCACATTTGTCTTGATTTTTTTAATTGTGAAATTTTTCCTATCTAAATGTGTACTATACCAATGAGAAAAGTAAGGGGTGATGCCCAGCTAGATGATGGCTCCACCACCACATAAACCATGTTGCTCTATAAAATTAAAAGTCTAAATGTTATTTTAATGGAGCTAATGTTCATATTCAAATTCGGGTTTTATTCAGGTTGCTTCAAAACTCTTTACATAATAGTCCTATAGATTTCCATCCAACTGACTTTCCTCTAATAGACACTCAGAATCATAAAATATCAGAGTTGGGAGAGAGACCAAAGACAGCATGCAATCCACCCTATGAAATTTTCTCTCTCTTTGTTATAAATGAAGACTAGAAAGTGTTAAAAGCATTTAGTGATAAGCTGAGTCTTTATCCTTGACATAATTAGAAGATAGAAGGATAAGTGAATAGAGAATTAAAATGTCACTAGATGACTCAATATTACTTAAATGATTTATCCTCCTGCTTTTAAGATTTTCTAGCATTAACCTATGGTGTATACATGTGTATGAGGAATCTGAGATCAGGAACAAATAACGATGAGAAAATTCAGTGGGAGAAGTGGGGATGGGTACTTACAATACACTTGCACACATGGCACACTTGTTTGCATGCATTTTGCCATCAGGGCCAAGAACAGGATCATTCTCTCTGGTGCATATGAGCATTCCATCTCGTGATTGGTCCCGGAATTCAGTGCAGGACTCCTAGAAAATGAAGAAGATATTCTCCACAGAAGTTTTCTACCTTCCCTGCATTTTTGCTATTATGAGGCATAAAAAATATATAGCAATGTAGGAAAAGTAAAAAGAAAAGTGGTAACATATAGTGATAAACCAGTAAGCAAGTACAAAGCCCCCCTGGAAACTCAGAATCGTCCTGGAGTCAGAGCAGAGCTGTTCATATTTATCATCACTCTCCTGAGGATGGTTATAAATGAAGCGCAGAATAAGAATGGCGAAAATGGTAGAGATGAATAGAAAGCATGTGCTTGTGTTGTGTTGTGTACTACATTGTGTAAAAGCTTTGGAAGGTTCAGCTGAGGAAGTTCAGGAGGCCTGGAGGAAAAGCCTTCCTGGAGAAAATGATGGAGGATGTGGACTTGAATCAGGAAAATCCAATAGTAGCAAAAAGAAGGAGGAATGGGTCAGGTCCTTTGGGAAGATTTGAAAGGACTTAGAAACTGATCGAGTACAATGAGTTAGACACATTTTAGTACTAAGTTATTCATAAAAATGTAGTTCTAGCTAAGAAAAACAGTTATTAAAAATAAGCCAGTAAACTTTAAATTGTGTCAGCTTTCCTCAAATAATGACTAATTTTGCAGGTGTTGTTAAGAAATAGAATAAATAAAGGTAAATCTGTTAGTGGCAATTAGATGACAATAATCCAACATCAACACACAAACAGATTCGCTTTTGCTATCTTAAAATTATAAAATTATAAAAGCAAGCAGGGCAGACTAAAAATAATCAGAAAATCAAATGAAATAATAATGGTCATCAAGGACAAGAAAGTTAGCTGGGTTGTGACAAAGATTAAACATGATAAAATATGTGCATTTTGACCCCAAAATAGGGTCTTGCATTCCCCATTTGATGTAATATAGGTAGGAATGAGATAAATTAAGACTAGCAAATTGTACAAGTTAATGTTAATAGTCTAGCCTAACAAAAGAAATCTAATAAAAGCCAAGTATGTAGAAATCCCTTAGAAAGAGTTAACACTTTGGAAGTTTTTGTTGGCTTTTATTGAATGAGTCTTAAAATTTGAGTAACTTTGAAATAAAATTGGTACTGTGGAAACATGTAATCAAGACTCCTTTTCAGGTTTAAACTGTTTTTTTTTTTCTCTTTTCCTTCTTTTTTTTGTGTGGGGGACAGGCCCTCAACTATGTTGTCCAGTTTGGTCTTGAACTTATGAGCTCATGACCCTCCTGGCTCAGCCTCCTAGGTATCTGAGGCTACAGGTGTGTACAAGATTGAAAGTGGTGTGAAATTTAAATAGGAAACATTTATGCTACTGAGATAACTAGAATATGATTGAGAAGAAAAAGTGTCAGGGCACAGCTGTAGTATTTCTGATAAAAATTACCTTCGCAGCTTCTCTTTTAGCCTTTGCTCTTGCTTTATCTTCCTGTTTACTATGAAGAAAAGGGAAAAAAATGAGAAAGAAGAAATGAACCTTAACCCAGTAGCACTTAGCCCACACTTGAAACTGATGTGGAATGCTCTGACCATTCTCAAGCATCAGCTAAGAACCACTCACAGCAGCTTACCATCTGATTAGGTAGGAAATCAGAGTTGTTCTCATCTTGAGAGAATGACATTCAAGAGACAGTCCCTTAACTATGGGGGAAAACCATTAAACTCCCCAGATCATACAGTGCAATAACACTTTCTTATTTCCTGATTCTTTCTTTTCTGCTCTTTTTATTTTATATTTTGTTTTATTTTTGGCAGCACTGAAGTTTGAACTCAGGGCCTTACACTGGTTAAGGAGGAACCACACCACTTGAGCCACGCCCCCAACCCCTTTATGCTTGATTTATTTTTCAAATAGTGTCTTCTGCTTTTTGCTCAGGGCCAGCCTCAGAACTCAATCCTTCTTCCTATGCCTCTTGGGTGGCTAGAATCATAGGAATGAACCACTATACCCAGCTTATTTGTTGAGAAGGGGTCTTGCTAATGTTTTGCCAGGGCTGGCATCAAACCATGTTCCTCTCATTTCTACCTCTCAAGTAGCTGGGATTAACAGGCATGAACTACCATGCCTGGCATTCTGTGATCATTTTTTATAAAGTGGCAATATTTGGTTTGGGGGAGGCAATATAGCCTGGCAATTAAGAGAAAACACTCTGGTGTAGATTGTGTAAGGACGATAAGAAGAGCCTTAACCTCTCTCTGTCTTCATTGTCTTTATTTCGGGGAAGTTGTTTAGGAAGGGAGAAGAGATAAGAATACCTTTCTCAGAGAAGTGTTAGGAGCATTAACTGACTCAATATATATGAAGCAATTAGAACATATCTCGTATGTAATAAAGGGATTGGTCTAAATGATATAAGGAGTTGATAGCATCATTGTCATCATTGTATATAAACATTAGAAACAGGCATATGATGAAAATGAAGTGAGAGTGACAGTACTATTTTGAATAACTGACAATACTGCAAATTGAATTTAGTTGCCTGGGTCCACAAGATAATTGTACATGTGACATTGTACCCAGTCCATGAAAATGTTTTAATGTGTTCTAATCAACCTTAATTTAACCATCAATCAAGTGAAGACTTTTGAAAAAGTTGGAAAGACTATTTCCACACACTATGAAAGTATGCAAAATGACTATGAAAAGAGCATTTCTCAAGATATTCAATAACTTTTGTTAACATGTCCATAAAATATGAGCTAACAAAAGCTTATTTTTATAAGAACTTTTTGTATTTACAAAAGAAACCTATTAAAATACATTAAAACTGGGTCTTTTCATACTTCCCTGCATGAGAACTTATCCAAATTTTACCACAAAGTCTGACTTGTCTGTAATGCTTAAGAAGTGCTTTATTTCCTCAATGGGAAATTATCAGTGAAGGCAGCAGAACTGACCACTAGTGGCAGAATTACTTCCTGGTCAGTCTGATGACTGTACAGGAAAAGATAAACAGGTTGACACAACCTAAATATAGGAACATATACCTGCCAGAAATTGATAAAGGCATTGATAAGTTATTATATTCTGTCTGTACATTACAGTGAGAAATAGTATTTTCTTTACCTATATGGCACATATCTTACGTGACTTTTCCACCATACTCAACTTCTCTGGGGCTTAGTTTTATCATCTGTAACTTATGACAATATAGAACTTACTTCATATAATCATAGTGAATACTAAATGAGATAAAGTAGCAAAGTTCTTATCAAGTTCCAGCCAATTATATGCATTCAATAAATGTTGGTTATGAAAATTATATGATCATCATTTTAACTTTCCATCTAATAGATAGTTTAGTGCTCCATGGCTCATAATCTATCAGAGACAGCTAGTGGATTATATCACTGTCTGGAAAGACTCAGCAAGTAAATCCTTCCAGAGATTACTATCACATAGAAAGTGTATTGGGATCTCTTTTTGGTAAAAAATTAAGAGTTCAGATACATCACAGACTCTTACTTGAAGGGCTATGTCATTCAAATCATGCTTTAACCTCCCCATAAATGGCCACCTAACTCTCTTATACCAAAATCACCATTCTTGAGTCTTCCCTACAGTTGCAAGGTCATTCTTCATGTTGAGCCCACATCTGTTTCCCTATACTTTTGATCCATTTTAGTTTTACTCCTCGAGATCACACAGAATTAGTAGGAAGAAAATGCTGAATTGAAAAAATATCTTACAAGATGTCCCATGTACTATAATGACATGTAATCTTACCAATGTTCTTATTTCAGCTAATACTTTTTCAGAAAACTATAATTAGTATGATTATCACAGAATATTCTTTGATATAGTTGAAGGGTTCTAGTTACCTCTGACATGCCATAGAAGAAATTATTCTTCATCTCTTATAAATATTTTAATTGACAATAATTGTATACATCTATGGGTTATGATGTGGTTTTTAATATTTATACATTGTAGAATGATTAAATCAGAGTAATGAACATAGTCACCTCATGTAGTTAACATTTTTTAATGATGAGAACATTTAAAAATGTACACTTTTAGCAATTTTGAAATATATGTTGGCTATTGTCTCCATGCTGTACAGTAAGTCTCAAAATCTTACTCCTCCTAACAGAAAACTATAGACTTTAATCAACATCTCCGAATTCACCACTCCCACTCTTAGCATCTGGTAACCTCCTTTCTACTATTTACTGTTCTACTGTTTACTGTTAGACTTTATGAGACTCCACAGAGAAGTGAAATCATGCATTATTTCTTTTCATGTCTTGCTTATTCTGCATCTCTTTACATAATAATGGTCATAATCTGAAAGTTTTCCATTTGCTTTTCTTGTTTTTATTGTTTTTTTTAAGTCTGTTTAAATATGACTTTCAAACTCACTTCTATATTAAGAGGAAAATACATTAGCATCTAATCTCCATTAAAAACAACAACAGCAACAAAAAACTTCCCATGGAATTTCCCATGTCCCACCACTTTCAGTAGCCTTGGGGTTCCTGCTCTACTCACAAGAAGGCCTCACACATGGAGCAGGTGTTGCCGTGCATTTTCCCATCTGGGCCCTGGATGGGGTCATTCTCTCTTGTGCAAAGAAGTTGTCCATTCTTCCTTGAATTGCGATATCCACTACATAGCTTCTATAACATCAAGGAGGGAAGTAGGAGGTGTTGAAATCAGTTGGATCAGATTGCAAACATGGCTGGAATTGTGAGTTTTTGTTTCTTAAATGGAGATCATCAGTTAGCCTATCTTAGAATAGTTCTTAACTTTGAAGGCACAGACATTTTTAAGTAATAAAAGTCAGTAGACCCTCAAGCAAGAAATAAATACATATGCACATAAATACATGCACCATGTAAACACACTCCAAAGCACAAATTGTGCAAGTGTCTCATAGGTTTTCAGGGAATTTTTGTGTTTCTTAAATGTCAACCATGACTCCCTAGATGCATATGCCTCCAAGAAGTTTCCCTCACCTCAAAGGAAACTTTATTTTCAGATTGTCTTTTGTTTCTTGATTCACTGTCCTTCTTTTTCTTTTCTTCTTCTTCAGCTTGGCTAAATGAGAGTGATTGAAAAAAAAAACCATGAGAAAGAATTATGGAATTTCTGGATAGGGAATGATCTCAGATGTAATATAATCATTACAGTTAAAATTTATTAAATTCTTACTGCATGTCTAATCCTGTGCTCACACTATGAAACCATCACACCTGCATGTTGTAAAATCATTATTATAATTCCAACTTACCAATAAGAAATTTGACATATAAAGTACACTACTTGTCCAAGGACTGAGTTAGTGAGTGCAGATGAGGTATTTAAACCTTAATCCAGAGGTAGCTTCTAAATTTCCAACTCTCATTGATATATGCCTGATGACTATCTAGCCTTTGTTTTAATCTTCCAGTAATTTCTTTACTTGTGCCATTCTTGACACTCGATGGAAAGCCATTCCATTTTCAAAATCATCCAACTGTTAGGGTACTCTTTTCAGCACTGAATGGAACCTGTCTTCTAGAGCTTACACCATCGGCCCAATGGCCTTACTTTCACTCATAACGACAACTTAGAAATAGACCTACTTCCATACTTAAAAATAAAAACTACTTGGATTTTTTAAAACTGTGACTCTCTCTTTGTCTAAGTGTGCCTACATCTTAATCTTCAAAGGAGATGATTTTTATACCTTTCTCCAATCAGGCAGTTTATTTAGATAAGCATTAGTTCTTTTGTTTCTCGGTGAAAGTGCCCTCTCAAAATTGAACGTAGAAGAAACAGAAAGGGCAAACTCCTCTCTTAGTTCCCTAGCTGCAGCTCTACTCACAAGAAGGCCGCACACATGGAGCAGGTGTTCCCATGCATTTTCCCATCTGGGCCCTGGATGGGGTCATTTTCTCTGGTGCAAGGGAGTTTTCCATTCCTCAGAACCTGTCGGTATTCATGACAAAGCTCCTGCCAAGTTAGAGAATGGAAGTTGGGCATTTATTTTATTTCTAATAGGAACAGAAGATTTGGACAGCTACATTGGCAGAAATTGTTTTGTCTTTTTAAACCCAGGAAGTTAAATGTGTTTCTCTTAATATAAAATTCAAATCCAACAACAACAAATCCTTTGCTAAGAAATGGGAACCAATAAGGCATAACAGGATGTCACAATGTAATAAGATAAATCCTACTATAATCTAAACAAAATGAAATAAGTACAAACAGATAGGTACAAGAACATATGATAACTCAAAGGTCAGGACCATGAAATGTGATTGAGGAAACCAGGAAAGATGTCAGAAATATTTTAAGTGGGATTGTCAAGAGTAAATAGGATCATTTCTGAGTAAAAAATAAAACAGATTTGGTAGTCTATGTATTAGATTGTGAAAATAAAATAAAAAGAGAGACATAGGTAGGAAACTACATATCACATATAGAGCAAGAATTTCTGATTAGAGGTAAGAGGACAAATTAGAAGAGACAGGAGATTAAAACATATCTTACAGTTGATGATGAGCTATCAATCATGCTTGCTTATAAAATCAGGTCTTTTTTTTTTTTTTTTACTTTTACCTCAGAAGTGAAATACATGTGTAGAAACTATACACAGAGAATTTCTCTGCAAAGCAGTTAGCAAAAGCTAACACCACTGCTAATGATGAACTAGAACTAGAACTCAAATTTTCAGACCTCCAGTACAGCAACTTCTTTTCATTTTATAGGGTTAATTTCTGAAGCATCAAGAACAGATCAGTATCCCACAACATTCATCTCAATGTTATCCCAGGTCAAAGGGTTTAGATTTTCTGCTAGGCGCTTTCAGGTGTGTTCTGTTACAGTACCTCACACAATTTGTTGGATAATCACACTCACTGCATATGAAGGTGTTTTTTCAGATCCTCTTTTGTTTCTTGCTTGGGATTTAGCCTTTTTCCTTTCTTCAGCTTCTGCTCGGCTGAACGAAAAAGAAAATAAAAGGCATCTGTTAGAAACAAACTCATGCAATGATTTCTCCACATCTCTGTATTGCTAATCTGTTCTCTGTCCTTATGTATCACTACATATCAGTAAGAATCAACAAAACAGCTTCTAGTGTGGTATGGTACCATGTCTTCTTCATTATTTCTGCTTAACCTTCAAATAAAGATGGCACCAGTGGGTCTAAAAAACTCATATAAATTATCTTTCTTGCCTATGGTAACAAAAAGATCATCAATGTCAACAAAGTAGGTAAGAAAATTAGAATCATGGTGACATACATCTGGAGACTGAAAGTGGCCTTAACAAAGCACATCACAGAGGATGTGAGGCACAAATCCTTTGGCTGTACTCTCAGGATGTGACCAAAACCAAGGTGTCCTCTCACAATTCCATGGGCTGTCCACTACATCAGGCATACCCTAGCTTCAATTTAAACTTAAATGTGTTATCTATACATGGCTGTTTTATCTAAAAGACAGAAGGTGTGACAGATGAGTAAAAGGTAAGAAGTTTCATACACAAATAAACCAAATGAACCTCAATTTTTGTACAATTGAATTATATGGTATCTATAGTTAGTTGATGCTATTTTAACCATATGTGGTTATTAATAAAAATAAAAGATAAACCATACATGGTTATTAATAAAAATAAAAAGATAAATTTAGTTTTTAATATTTTAAATATAGTCAAATAATCTAAGTTTAATCAAAGTGAGAACTACTTTAAATTATGAAAGAAAACTGTTAGTTCTAACTTACTGAGAAATATCAACATTTATACAGTAACATTTAAGGTGAGCTTTTAAGAGTTTTTGGTTGTTTTATGAGCAATATGACTAAAGTCAATTTTTGTGTTAAATGCTGACTTGGTTCTCTAGCTCCCATGAAAGGTGAAATGCCTATAAACTGTTATGCTGGGTTCCCATATGAGGTTTCACCAGTGAAGGAGCAACTAATATTTGTAAAAGTTCATATGTTCACAGGAGGTTCCAGTGCTAAGAGGGAGTGTAACAGAAAACAAGGTGTTTTAAAATAAATACTTACTCCCATCTCTAATACGACATTTTCCATGTAACATATTCAACTACGTTTCTTATTTTGAACCACAGTTTCCCCATTTATGAAACAAGCTGGTTCTATTAAGGTATTATAAGGTTTCCTCTTTTCTTTGACATCTTAAAACTCTATACTCACAAGAAAGCTTGACACATGGAGCACATGTTGCCATGCATTTTCCCATCTGGACCCCTAACAGGGTCATTTTCTCTGGTACAGAAGAGTATTCCATTTTTTGCCCGATCCTGATATTCACTGCAAAGTTTCTGAATAATGAAAATGAGAAAGTTTTCACATAGGTCTGTATTCTTAATTTGTAAATTTTGAACATTGCTTTTAAAAGAAATTGGAAAAGAGTAATTGAGGATGAAAAAATGAAACTTTTAAGATTTAGGACCATCCAAAAAATTTGTGATGTTCATTCTCATGATATTCATCCACTTACATGTTCCACAAATATATTAAGTTAAGAGGATATAAATATGAATATAATTTAGGTCCTTTATTAGACCAGTGGAAAGAATAAGTACAACATGCAAAGCTAAGGAATGTACTAGTACAAAGGAAAGAGTGAGTCATCAAAGTTTTAAGAACTTATGAGTGAATTCTATGTACAGGATGTATTTAGGAACACAATACACCAAAAATGGTCCTCCAAGAGAAATTGAGATATGTGAAGTCATAAAGGCATTAAATAGTATATCCTGTTGGGATAATCTAACATTTCCATGAGGACAGTGGCTAAAGAATTAATTGGGTGAAAATAAGAATGTTTGAGAAGTAGTCAAAAAGAAGACCTTAAAAATTATCATACCCCAGAGTACAAAGTTTGAAAGGAATTTGTATCTTCTTTTTATGAAATGGAACAAGATAAATATTTATAGCAGAGACTAATAGAATCAAATCTTTGTTTTTAGAAAGATTACCGCCAACTAGATTTGTAGATGAGTGAATAGGGATTACAGTTAGAGAAACTAATTTGGATTATAGAAAGAGAAAGAAGAAAGGAAGGAAGGGAGCAGGAAGGAAGAGAGGAGTTGGAAATGAAAGACAAAACAATAGTTGAGGCATATTTGAGTACTAAAATTAGTAGAAATTGGTAAGTGGAAAAAAGAAGTTGAAAATGAGGTCAAAGAAATAAGTTACACAGAGTTACAGAGGCAGAAGGTAGCCTAAAGAGTAGACTGCTTTGTAAAATTGTGAGTTATATATCATAGAAGACTGATAACTGTAAGAAATATGTTAAATTGGATTTCCACATGCAGTTAAATGGTACAAACATACTCTAGAATATATTCAAATGTTGAAATTTCATAATGACATTAACTCATGAAAATGCCTCCTAGTCTATGAAAACAATACAGGGAATTATTTGATTTTATGGATTGAGGAAGATGGAAATTAAGAGTATATAGATCAGATAGAAGACTAACACATTAATGCAAAGGAAAATTCTTATAGGTCTGAGCTAAGATGATAGCAATAGAAAATAGGCAAATGAAGAGTTAAGAGATTTTTAGAAAGTAGAATGAAGGATGATTTAAAGGAAGCCTATTAAAATTCTACATTGCTATTGCTTTTAAAATGAATAGCTCAACACAGCTACCAGACAGTGGAAGAGTACATGTCATACTATGAATTCAGATAATGTTTTCATTTAAGAAGATTGAATTATTTTATTAGTGGTATCTTGGTTATTTTCCCCTAAATAAATATAGAAATAGTAATGCCATAATTTCCTTTGACATAGAACAATAATTATAAGTTAATTTCCAGAAAACCTATTAGTAGTAAAAATAGTGGTAGTTAAAATATCAACCAATACTGACAATGCATACTAGAGTAATCTGCTTACACACTCACAGTATCCACACAAAACATAAAACTAGATCAGACTAATCCTCACCTCAACTTCTCTTTTAGCTTTAATTTTTTCTTCAGCCTTTCTCAGGTTTTGATCTGCTTTATTCTTTTCTTCTGAAAAACGCCTCATGCTGGAGAAAGAAAAATAAATAAGTGAGTAGAGATTTTTTTCAAATCTTCATGTTACAAAATACTCATTAGGTGTTTTCTTCTCATCTCTCTTTCTTTTAAATCATTCCAGCTTAAATTCTACCTTTTAAAAAGAAGACATCCCAGACCACAAATAGAAATAAACTCTATATCTACCACAGATTGTTCATACCTAAATATTTTTCTCTTATTGAATAGTTTTCATTCACTCTTACAACATATAAACATGTGTAAGCATGTGTGCACATTTCCATGGTTTATTTATGCTATCAATCTTAGGCTCCTGGAGAACAGAGATATTCATTTCTGTATTTACTCAGTAACTCATCATTTATTTAGTAACTAGTTTTTTGGCAAGCATTGGTCTGAGCCTGGGCACAGAAAAGTATACAACACAAACCTATCCCTATCATATTGGAACATATAACCTAGCAGAGTGGTAGTCAACAAATAGTCATAGAAATAATTACATAATTACCCACTATGATGATTATAGCATAGTGAATTATGAGGATTGATTTTCAATTAGACATTTAGGAAGTCTTATCCAAGGAAGACAATCTTAAATTACAGTCTATAAAAAGAGGGGGTATTAGTTGGCCAAGTCTGAGAGGTGTTACCAGTAGGACAACATGCAGAAAAGAGTTTATGGACTTCAAAGATGAAAGAAAGTATAACCAGATCATGTCTGGTATACTGTCATAAATGCCATAATCTGTATGATGTGAGATTTTCTTTTTTTCCCAAATTCACATGTCCCTGATAAGAAGATAAGTATAAGCCAATTAACATGTGAATGTGAATTTTTTGAGTATGTCTCATCAATTCTGTCATAATGAGGTAATTATTGAAGAAAGGCAAAGTTTTGGTACCTGTGTTCACCCCATTATGTATGACTTGTTCATAAAGAGGCTTTAAAAGGTCACAGGGTTTGAGAATGTTCAGAAGTATTTTGAAAATCAGTCTTCCAGTTGGAAAATGGAATCCCTTTGGACTCAGAAATAGACACACGTCATTAATGTACACAGGTGGTATTTGGTTTGTGGAGGACATAAAACTGCCCAAATAATTATTAATGTCAGTTCAACAATACTCTTATTCATCATTTAGCTCAATCTCTACTTCTACCTTTTCAGTAACCAAGAAGAAACTGCTTCTATACTCACAATATTTCAGCACACAAGGCACATTTGTTGCCATGCATCCTGCCGTCAGGGCCACGGACTGGGTCACTCTCCCGGGTACAAAAAAGTCTTCCACTCCTCACTTGACTTTCAAATTCCTTGCAAAGTTCCTTTAAAAAGAAAAGTAATTATAGTTGCCATTTTCTATTCTTTAATCTTTCAAATTTATATGGTCAATTTACAAGCACAGAATGACAAGTCTGGAAGTGTTGGTAAACACGGATGACATATTAATGAGAATTAGCAATTATTTTGTCAAGTTACTTGGCACTTGCATATGTTGTGTGTACATTTATTAAAAGGTAAAAGAGCCTAGGATGGATAAGGCTGAGGAAATACTTCTAAAACTTTAGTTAAATAGTTCTTGTTAACTTTCAAATCTGTAAGAAACAAAAATGGATCTTTGATGTGGTTCCAATACAGACCCAACAAATACAATAGACAAGGTAAAAAAATGTCACTGATGGGCAGAAGATGGAATTCTTGAAATCAGATGTGTAAAAGTTACTTAAGATGGGTCAAGTCCAGAACAAGCCAGCCTTATTTGCAAGGAACAAGGAGCAAGATGGCGCTCAACAACATTATGTATGCTCTGCTTCTTTGCCTGTGTTCATTTCTGACATTATAGGTGAAAACCTCAGACAGAGTGAATTGAATAACTTTCAGTCTAAAAGCCTAAAAATGCTGTGTCTATTAAAGAGAGAGGGAGGGAGAGAGAGAGAGAGAGAGAGAGAGAAGACTTTGGGTTCCTAGGTTTCCTGCTAATTTCTATGACCATGCTATGAACTTTCAGATTTATTTCTGTTTTTGAAAATTCTGCTATTTGGTGAAGGCTAAACTTCACAAAGACCATATCTTAATTCCTCTAGGCTCAGCTTTTTCTGTCTACATGAGCATGTTATGGTGGCATATATTACTATAATATAAAGTATAAACATGATCTTCTTTTTCACTGTGCAATCCTCCTGTTTCCATTTCAGCTAGAAAACATGAGCATAAAAAGGATGGATGAGGAATCAGGATACTTGGGCAGTTAGACTGTGGCTCTAAGCCACTAGGAGACAGAAACAAAGTCCCATCACTTTTGGGACCTCAATCTTACCACTTACACAGTGAGCTTCTTTGAATAGATCCTTCCTAGATAAGTATTTCCTGATTGTTTTTTTTTTGCAACTCAAATTTCATCAGAACACTTTAAAAAAGAATCCCAATAGCTTCCTAGTAGAAGATGCTTGTTTTAGGGGGAGTAAAGGGGATGCTCTAAACTTCTGGTGGGAACAATCTAGGAATAATGATGCAGAAAACAGTCACCTGATAATAATAGCATGGTAATAAAATTAATGCTCAATGATTCCTATATGAGAAAGAATGATAATTTCAGTTTATAAATTGTGATTCATCCAGGGAGATTGTGAAAAAGTACTTGTGTGAGCAACTCACTGACAAGTTAATTATAGGGCATGTATTAAGCCATCATTGTAAAGCAGTCCTATTCAACACAATTATGCCTAATGACTCCAGCCACAGAGAGAAAGAGGCAAAGATGGTCCTGACCTGACAGAAAACAAGAGAAAACAACATTTTGTGTTTATGGAGTAACAGATGCTAATTATCACCATATGATCCAGAGTTTTAGACTAAAATTTACCTACTACCACAAAAGAATTTTGTTCAACCATTGACGAGTGCTGAACAAATTATAGATAGATCTGTGTACTTCAGTTTTCTAATTTTAAGTTCAGGCTACCTAATTTAGGTTGAGAACTTGGATTCACTGAATAGCATTATGATGTGGAAAGTCAGCTTTTGATTATCAAAAACTGGGCCTGTTTTCCCACAGGAAAAGCATAAGCCCTGCAATATACAAAAGTAGCATATTTCTATTAATACAAAAGAGTGCCAAGTGCAGAATCACAATTCAACAGGAAGGCAAAATTGAGGTCACTTACCCTACCTGTTTATTTTGCTGACAAGAAAATTAAGGCCCAGAGAGGAGATGGTTTTCTCAGTCTTACACACCCAAAGCATGACAGAATGAAGGCTAAAACTCAGATGTCCTGACTTCCCAACAAAAGGCCAGCCATTTAGCAAAGTAACTGCTATCTCTCTTATTCAAAGTAGGGCTTAATAACCTTGGTGACTTAAGTAGCCCAGGCCACATTGTCTACAGTACTTATTCAATTAATAAAAGGAAAAACTTTTCACACTAGATTGAAAAATTATATTACCAAATAATGTTTGATAAAAGTTTAATTTTAAGAGTATTTTTCAAAACCACCATTTCAGTATTTGAGATCTTCACTTTGGCCTTTATTAATATAGGTCTCACTGAATGTAATAGCGATATGGAAACAACCCATATGGAAAAGTAAATAGTTACAACTGAGACAATGGAATTTTATATAAAATTTACCAGTGGATGTACTGTTTAATAGAGTCAAAGTTATTTTACAGTTATTCCTAATTTATACTATGATGCAATTAAAAAAAATGTACTCAAGGCAAAGTGGTTTACACTGTGCCAGAAAGAAGGCTGATAGAAACTAGCAGGATTTTGTGTGCACAAACTTTCTGTCTTATATCCTCTTTATGGGGAAGAGGAAGGTGGACTGGAAATTACACATTATTAAGCCTTAGTGAGAAATGCTGTTTAAATTTGTACCTAATTTACCTACTACCACAAAAGAATTTTGTTCAACCATTGACGAGTGCTGAACAAATTATAGATAGTTCTGTGTACTTCAGTTTTCTAAGAATACTAAGGATAGTCAATCTGAGCAATCTAATATTAAAAGAAGTCCATGTGGTTTTAAAGGGTAATGCAATAATTTCATTATTCAAGGGTTCAAGCATAATTTTGGTAGTGTTTATGGCTACAAGAACCAAATTGTGTTGTTGAGTTATTTACATTTTCAGTGTCTCTCTGAATTCTGTTTCCACCTTCTCGTTTGGCATTTTCTTCAGCTTCCTTTAAACTGTTAAGAAAAGTAAACAGCTGATGAGTTTATGGCTCAATCATATTCCCTGTGTCTACCCTGTGCTAAGCACTTTCATATCCTCTGCCATAACCTGTTGAAACTTGTCCACTTACAGGAGACAAGAATTTTCCTGTCTTCAATGTCTGTACCAGAGAAATTGCCAAAGATAAGGAAGGGTGTGAAACTGACTCACTGACAGTCAATTATAAGCTTTGTTCTGCAGAACTAGATGGGTGTGCCACCTTAGGTGACAAACAGAAGACTGTCAGGAAAATTCCCTCCAATAGGCAGAACCAAGAGTTTGAAACAATGCTGTGACAAGGTGAAACCAAACTAAGCCTTTGAGGTATTACTACCCACACCCTGTGCTTAACTTTTTAAACCTTGTAAAGTAGTTGTTCACTTTCATGTAAAAAAGCATGGCTGCTAGTAAAAGCTAAACTTGAATTGAGCTTCTAAACCCTTTCACATATATTACCTAATTACATTCTAATACTGGGGATAAACATTGCTATCTAAGTTCTACAGGGGAAGAAACCAGGAATTTATAAATGCTGGGTTAAATCTGAACCTAATGATACATATACTAGGAATTGTCAACTTGAGGAATTTTAACATTTAAGACAATCCATGTGTTAATAAAAGACAATGCCATTATTGTATTACTTCAAAGTTTCAAGCATACTTCTCTTTTTCAGTTAGTGCATATAAAGAAAACCCTATGATTTAGGGCAGGTTTGAACACTTTAAGTACATGCCTCCTAGGTAAGAAAGTGGAAATCCTACTGATTTCCTGTCTGAAAACCATGAATAAACTATCTTGTGAACCTGATAGAACATGCCCTTGAATTCTACAACAGCTAACTGTAATTTTCAAAGGCAAGTGTGAAGTTTATTAGTCTGGTAAATCTTTTTCTGTCCTGATTTTAAAGATCTAGAGATGTAAATATGGCACTTTGAGGTTGCTGCCACAAGGCCTAGAGTCTATACCTTGTTTAGCAGATAGAATGTGAAAGTCTAATCGCCTCTTACTCATATCTGGGTCTTCGGGCCCAAACCAGTGCCAAGCACTCAGATTAACACAATAGTTCTTCCCTTTCATAATATTCACATTTTACCACTAAGAATGAATTGATACACATGGCAATTATTATCATTATATATTTAAAATATATTGTCATGATTCAGTAAGGGTCTCTCTATACATGCCCAAATGAAGCAATGAATGTCAAATGACTAACCTAGATTATGCAAAAAGAAAATGCTTTTTAAATTTTAAAATATTATGCCTTATAAAGCACTGGGCATTTTCAAGTATTATAATTTTTTTAAAATGAAGAGTCTTATGTTTAATAACTAGCATAACCAACTTATCCTTTCCTTTTTAGGAACTTCAGTAGAAGACATGAAGAAAAAGAAAAGAAGCCACCCTGGCAGCAAGGTCTATTGCACATTATAAAGACAAAAGATTGCATGTTTCATTAAAAGGCCTTCATCTCTCCATGGAGGGATCCTCAGGTCAGGAATCAAGTGCATTCCCACAGGTCCACCGGAAGATGATGATACTTACAAGAGCTCAGCACACATGGCACACTTATTGCCATGTGTCCTCCCATCAGGGCCAAGAACAGGATCATTTTCCCTTGTGCATCCGAGCCTTCCATCTTTCACAAAGGGTCGAAAAGCACTGCATATATCCTGAAGAACAGGGAAAGGAACTTGGCATCTACCAGCATAATTATAATGCTTACGACATTTACAAAAATTGTATAGAAGTCAGTGCCTCTCCCATCATGGTGGGTAATAGCCCCCTTGGGCAGTGCTGGTTATATAGAAGCAGCTCAATGGATATTGTATAAAACTCATCTACTTATTTATTTATTCAGTAAACACTGATAATTGTGCTAGAATTCAGGTGGCACTACCCTTTATTCTCAATTTGCTCACAAGGTCCCACATGATGCAGACAAAGAGATATTTAAAACACTGTGTGCTGAAAGGTAAAATTAGGTGCTCCAAGAGCATCAAGCAAGGGTATCATACCCTGACAATTAGGGATGCTGATCAGCTAGAGAAAGTCAAGGGTAGCATGGATGAGATCCTTCTTTCTTTTCCTTATTCCCACAGGCTCACAGAACCTTAGCATAAAAATTTATTCCTGTGCTATAGTGATTTAGTCTATGTCTCATTTTAGTTAAGTAATTTGCCCAAGGTCTCCTGACAGCAAGTGACAATGCAGCGGCTTCAGCTCAGATTAAATGAATCACGTCTACTGTTCTTTTCATCGCACATGCAGCTTTCTTCAGATTTCTGGGTTTTCTTAACAGAAAGCAGAAATACAGCTGAAAGGTCTAATCATCAGAGAAATCTGATTGAGTTTCAGGAACTATCTACTGCTTTTCCACACTAACAGGCAGTATTCAGTATTCCATGTCAAGTAAAGCAAGAGTTAGCTCCTTTCAAGTACCCCACCTAAGAAGAGTGAGGAAAGCATTTGCTTTCTCTTTTGAAGTCAGTCCCCAGTGTTTACTACCATTCTGGCCCATGTTCTCACCTCTTCTGGACTACTTTTCTCACATTCTCCCTCACTTTTTATGTCAACATGGGACCCAGTTTTCCTGGAATCAAAAGTTAGAAGAGCAATTAGTATGATAGAACTTTCCACCATTAAACCTTACTTCTCTTAATTGTATTGTTTTTTTCCTCCTGAAAATAGTGTCAGATTCTATTATTTTCTTTACTTGTTTTGTCTGTCTAATGAGAATCAATATTTCTAAGTTTGAGCCAAATAAATGGAGTTATGTTAGAAGGCCTATAAGATTCAGACTTAGAAATACTATGCCCCAAAATCTTTTTTCTCCTGTGTCTAGAATGGAATCTTCATCAGAAAATGAACAAAAGTTAGGCTTGTAACTATCTATTAGAGGCTTCTGAGGGGATTTTATTGCTTTTGTCATTGTTATGTAAACGAGCTCATGTATGTATGTAGTCTTCAGTTGGATTATACTAATTAGTATTATATTTTTCATGAAAAGTACATAAAGTCCTGATGATTAATTTTGTGTAATCTAATAGAGCTTCAAAGAATAGCTGAAAACACAGAACTAAAATGTAAGCTACTTCCTACTTTCTAAAAGGATAACCTACAATTTAGCAACTGCATCATAATAAAAATATAACTGAAACAATACAAAAATAAAGTAAGTATATAAGAGTGTAAGGAAAAATGTTTTTCAAATATACTAGCTGAGAGAAACTATTAAAATTAAAATCCATTATTACTGTGGAATTTCCTAGAAGCCAGAGCTAAGAAAGAAACCCAAGGAGTGGTATGATTCTCACTGTATACAAAAAATTAAGTACTGGATATTAGAAACTCAGGGAAAGAAACCTTCATCTGGACCAGAGATTCAAAGATAAAATACAGGATTCCCCCTTCAAGACATAGTAAGAATAAGACATACAGTGTGTTAACAACTATAGCTAATAAAATCCTGCATGTTATTTAAGTATATGTTTGGTTTCTATTTCTTTATGTTGACCCTTGGTGAGAGTTGAGACCATAATTTTTGAACATTTTCTGAAAATGCAGTCATGTGAAGGACCAGAGTGATTTAATATTGTTTTATTTTGGTGAAGACAGTGGTTACAGAAAGGATAAAGCTTGAAGAATCTCAAAGGACAAATATTATCCTATTAGTTGTCTGATACATTTGTTGTTATGTCATCAAGAACTAAGGTGCAGATTCTTCAAGATTGAGGTTACATGCAGAACTTGCAAAGCAGGTATGCATCTTGTTGGTGGAAGACAATAGCCAAGCCTAGCATTGAGGGTGGAGAAAGAGTAAGACATGGGCAAAATGTAAGACAGTGAGATGCTTTACCTGTTTGGCAAAGGTTAAATAGATACAAAGAAATTCAATATTAAAAGCTTCATTTACCTATAACAGTATTTTAAATTACTGAACACTTACACATAATTTGCATATAATTACATATAATTCTCTGTTTAAAAGATGCACTAAGACAACTAGACTGATAGGTGGTCGACAGAATACAGATAGGTATAAATAGGTGTGTGTATGTAGCACTATGGGTGGATACAATATTTGTGTACACATGTTGTATATATTATCTCACTATCATATTAATTTCATATAGTGGTAATCATCTCAAATTACACTCAAATGAGCTTTGTAAAATATAAAGTGTTACATACTATATAATTCTTTCTTAACAGTAACAAAAGAATTGGAGTTAGTCATCTATAGTTTATAGATCACCATCTCCTACAAAATAAATTGTCTTAAAGACTATAAGAAAACTGTTGTAACTATATAGACAACATGTTCTAGGGAGAAAGCCTGCTTCGAGAATACTCACACATTCTCGGCACAGAGCTCACATCTGCTGCGATAGGTTTTCCCATCTGTGCCACAGACGGCAGCAACATCACCAGTACAGATAAGCTCCCCATCTTTTTCTCCTTTCTTGAGCTCATCACAATTCAGCTGCAAGAGACATGATCATGGGATGTCAAAATATGTGAGATAAAATAGTCCTTACATGCATCAGTTAGCTGACTTTTTAACCCACAATACCTCACTGTAAATTAAAAAGGAATTTTAAGGAGAGCAGGTAGGTAGTGCAATCAGGTCTGAGAACAGAGATACAATTAGATTTCAAAAGAAAGAAGTTTGGTATGACTTTAGCCATTTGCTGTCTGAAAAGGTAGCCTACACCACCTCTCTGAACTTAGTATATTGTTCCTCTGTCAAATCCTGCCTCTCTTCCCCACAGAGCCATACTGAGGCCCAAAGATAACCGACATGAGAGCTCTCTGTAAATTATAAACTACAATAAAATTTCTACATTGGGATAGTAGATTTATGGGTTCACAGCGTTAGCAATTAAAAGCAAGATCTGGGGGTTCAGGGTTCATAAATTCACTACCTGCATGATTTGGGCAAATAACTTAGTCTCTCTGTGCTTAAGGTTTCTTATTTGCAAAATGGGTATAATTTCACCAGTCTCTCTGTGCTTGAAGGATATTTAAACATGTTAACACATGTATAGTAATTAGAACAGTCCTAACACATTATAACCACCTCTGTTGTTGCTATTTGAAATGTTTTCTCTACCGACAATCAAGACAAAAAAATGAAACATCTTTAGAGGAGGACAAGAGAAAACCCCAAATCTCTGTTTTAACAATATGATGAGTACTTAAGGACAAACCAGTGTGGTGAGAAAACAACTGCACCAGGTAATAACTGAAGACTCTTGTTCAAAAATCAGATGTGCCACCCACTCACTTCACCTCTTTGAACCTCACTGTCCTCACCTAGAAAATAGGAATTCACACCCTACCCACATTCCAGATTTGTGGTAAGGATCAAATAAATATTTATGAAATATTATTTGTCAACCATTATTGTGTCATAAGATAACTAAAGAAGATACAGAGTTAACTTGAATTTAGCTTCCATCCAAAACCAAGTGAATACAACTGAGATTTTTCCTTAGGATATCAGATTGCAAAATACATTTTGATGTTATTTAAAGTAATTTAATGGTAAATATAGAACACTTAAAGTACATACCTGTGATGATCTACTAAGTCACAATTATAAATAATAAAAGTAGCACAGATGAAAATTTATAGTGAATTTGTTAACCAGAAGATAAGATTGGAGGACTCTAAAAGGCCACATAGAAGGAAAATTGATTTTAAAATAGAAAGGACAAACTATATCTCTATCCCATTATTCATATCATTTGTTTAGGAAGAAACATAAAGAGCAAAAATAAGACATGGTCATATAAATTACTTCATTGATTCATTTGCTCATTTGTTCCACAAGATTCATTTTGTGTTTATGAGGCTTTGGGCATTTTACTATACTGTCAGACTGCCATAGCAAAACAGAAATAGAATAATGTTCTAGAAGCTCTAAAGAGCTTGTATGCTGATAGGAAAAAAGACCATACACATAACTATGTTAGAATATTGTAAGTCCTATAAAAATAAACCAAACAATATAATTGTGCTTAGAGTTCTAACAACTTTAAATATAAATATATACAAGCAGAGTCTTTCTGTAAAAGAGATATCTGATGTGAGGTAAGGTTAATGAGGAGGAGGGAAAAACATTCAAGGCACAAAACAGCAATTGCCAAGGATTTGTGGTAGTAATCAGATTGTTCTACTCAAGTGGCAGAAAGAAGTGTGACTGGGACATAATGAAAAAGAAGGAAAGCTGGTGGTGTTCTCTCAAAAAATCATCTCTGGAAACTACGGAAGCATGAGGAAATTATGGCTCAAAAAACCTTGGAACAATCAGTGCTTCTGCCCTCTGCCAGAAAAATCAAGAGCAACATTCTAGGTCACAGGTGTTGGCAGCAAACAAGGAATGACAGGGATAATAAAGAGGTCAGCTGGGAAGTGACAAGAACAGGTGCAAATATTTTCTACTCCACCTCCTTCCCCTCCAAACTCCAAGAGTTGGTGATTCACATTCTACAGAAAACACTTCTTCCTCATGTTGACAATTGCTGAGAGCTCATGGGTGGATTCTGACCCAGTGGAGTGGCAGCAAACTGGAGAGGCAACAGTGGTTCCTGACCTTCCAGCTCTGGGTTTTATCCTTTGCCCTATTCTACACTCACCAGAGCTTGTCCTAGAACATTATCTAACTCACGTTAGCAGGAACGTTAGCTACAGTCATCATGGAATCTCACAGTAAAAATCTCTGCACATCACAGAAAACCAAACTACTAAAGAAAAAGCCAAAACACTAAATAGCCTCTATTAACTGAAGCAGAATTGTTCAAATGAGTAGGAAAATTATTTATCAAAAGTGAAAGTATTCTTCAGAGAAATAACATACTTATAACATAAAACAACAACAACAAAAAACCCCAGAAGTTATAAGGAAAGAAAAAAGCTGAAGATTTGCATTCAGAAACTATTTAAATGGTATACATAAAACAATATAAAAATGAAAATGTTATAAGTGCAAATATATGATGAATTCATGAAATAGTGGATCAGATCACTGAATTTTCCTAAAGGGCAGTTAAAATGGAAAACTATTTTAAAATAGAAAAGAAAGGTCAAATAACATTCAGAATAACCTCCAAAAGGAAGATATTTCTACACAGGTAGAAATATCTGAACAAATAGGGCAAATTTCTAGAATTAATGAAAGATCAAGAGAAAGAAATGGCCAACAAGTGAATTCTGGAATCTAGCTACTAATAACAAAATTGCAAAGATATTGGGGAGAAAACTGATTCTAATGATAGATGCAAATATTGTCAATAGCAATAAATCACTGAACTATGGGTTTTGAATTAAAGATAGTCATAATTAGAATAAAAATGGGTATGTTACATTTAAATCATTACCAAAGAAAAGTTGGAAAAGGGTAACTACTTTTAAAATAACTTTAAAAAATAAATGTAACTAAGAATGAAAAATTGGGAGAGGTAAGTACTAATATACGGGAATAATAAATGTGAATGGATTAAACTCATAAACTAAAACACATGTGGTGACTGAAGTTTTAAAAAACAAGATCAGACCATATATTAATCACAAAACAAAAATTAAAAAGTACACAAATATTAGCATAGTAAGATAAGAATGCAAGACAAAATGAATAAGAGAGCAGAAGCAATATTAACACTAAAAGTAGACTTTAGTGAAAAAATGTATCATAACTGATAAAGAAAGATATTATATAAAGAAAAAGGAAGAAGCAGGTAAGAATGTATAACAATAAGGACGACACAGTCACAAAATAACACTGACTCTATATGTGTCAAACAATAATTGGTAATATATAATAGCTTTAGGTCAATCAATAACTAGAGTTAGATATTTTAAGGAACATTTCTTAGATACTGATATATTAAAAAAATAATTAAAAATCTCATTCCAGTAGATTTTTCTAGAAAATCACCCCCAAGACAATAAATATTTTTAGAACATATCAAATATTTATAAAAGTAGAATATTTGTTAGGCCACAAATAAAAGTTTAAAAAAAACCCAAATGATCAATATCATATGGTCCACCTTTCTTAATCAAATTTCATTCAAATTAAAAGCTAATCTAAAATGGAAAAATTGCTATATATGTGAAAATTACTATAATTACTATTAATTGTACTACGAGGTAAATTTGAGGGGGATTAATAAATATTTGACAAATAATGACAAATGGAAGCACTTTAAGTACCAATCCTGAGAAAGCTGATTAATAATATTTTTAAATATTGTCAGAAAATTCAAAAATGTCAAAAAACTAAGTATTCCTCAATCAATTTTTCAATGAATAGAGAAAGAATAAAGAAACTGAAATAATTGCCATAGAAGACAAAAGCAATAGAGATCTTTAAGAAAAAGGCTGACAGACTACATTTTAAATATGACTAATAGAAAGAGAAAATGGGAAGAAAAGATATGTTGATTGATAATTGGAAGTAACAGTATGAAGTTGGGATATAAATATAACAAAAGCATATTAGGTCTATATGCTAGTGTATCTGAAAGACAAAATGGATGCATGACTGAAAAGCATGTACAAAATACTGATGCTGGTGCAAAAAGTGAGAGAAATGTTGCTGAGATCAATACATATTAATCCAATTTATAAACAAGCCTGAGATATTCCTCCCCTACTAACACAAATCCAAAGAGCTTTACAATCTAATTTTCTTAAGTTTTAGAACAATATGTATCAAGTAATCTACAAACTGCTCCCCAAATCAAAGAAGTGTATACACTGAAAATAAAATGTTAAAGAGCTTTTTGAAGTATTATTTTCATACAATAAAGTTCACTTACTTTAAGTGTAAAATTCAATGGTTTATGAGTAAATTTACAGAGTTGTAAAACTGCCATTAGAAACCAGTTTTAGGGTATTTTCATCACACCTGAGAGCATCATCTGCACTATTCAGATAATCCCATCTCTAAGATTCTGCCATAGGTGACCATAGAACTTCTTTCTGATTAAATTTACCCTCTTTGGATATTTTGTGTAAGTGAAATCATATATTATTTTAACCTGCTAATTTTTTTGAGATTTATCCACATTGTAACAGTGTCAGTAGTACATTCCTTTTATTGCTGAATAATATTCCATTGTAGAAATATATTTTGTTTTTCCATTCACCAATGGACATTTGAATATTTGAATTGGTTTCAGTTTCAACTATTAAAAATAATGCTGTTGTGAATATTTGTACATCTGATTTTGTGTGGGCATATGAACTTTACTGGGTTCCTAAGTCTAAATTTGTTGGGTCATATGGTTAACCAATGTTTAAAGAAATTGTAAGGGAAGAATCTACAACTGATGAATGGATCAAGAAAATGTGGTATATATACACATACAATGGAGTTCTACTCAGCCATAAGGAAGAATGACACCAATTGGTAAATGCAATTGGAGGACATCAAGTTAAATGAAGTAAGTCAGGTTCAAAAATATAAAGGCCTCA